CTTCGCTCCCACCCCGAAGATGAGTACTCTTCGGGTGTTGCTGCATATTGCAGCCCAGCGCGACTACGAGTTGCACTCCTTGGACTTCTCTACCGCGTTCCTTCAGGGGAGCCTGCACGAGCAGATCTGGCTGCGTCGCCCGCCTGGCTTCACTGGCTCTTTCCCACCTGGGACCCAGTGGCAGCTGCGTCGACCAGTCTACGGCCTGCGTCAGGCTCCACGTGAGTGGCACGACACACTTCGCTCGACCCTTGCAGCGCTTGACTTCTTTCCGTCGTCTGCTGACCCGTCACTGTTCGTTTGCCGTGGCTCGACCCCTTGTCCTGGTCTACGTCGACGACCTGGTGTTCGCCACTCCCGACCGACGCGCGCTGGCCTCCGTAAGGGAGGAACTGCAGAGGAGACACACTTGCACTGACCTTGGTGAGCTGCAGCACTACCTTGGCCTGCAGATCACCAGGGACAGGGCAGCTCGCACCATTACGCTGACTCAGTCGCATATGGTCGAGCAGATCCTCACGCGGTTTCGCTTCCCGTTCTCCAAGGTACAGCTCACCCCTCTTGGTGTGGATCATGGGCTCACAGCTCCACCTTCGGACGAGTCATTTGAGTCCAGTGGTCCATATCCTGAGCTGGTGGGTTGTCTCATGTACCTGATGACCTGTACTCGCCCAGACCTAGCTTACCCTCTTAGCGTACTTGCGCGCTTTGTTGTGCCTGGGAGACACCGACCGTCCCACTGGTACGCTGCTAAGAGGGTGGCGAAGTATGTGGCGAGTACATCAGGCATGGGGCTTGTCCTTGGAGGGAAGCAGCCAGTTACACTTACAGGTTACTCGGACTCGTCGTGGGCCGACGACGCGGAGACGCGTCGGTCTACACAGGGGTACTCCTTTAGCCTCGGGGCAGGTGCTGTTTCGCGGCGGTCGACTCGGGCGTCGTCCGTCGCCGGTTCCAGCTGTGATCTTCACCAAGGCGTCGCCGGTTCCAGCGTGATCACCAGCGTTTCTGCACCCAGCTTGGCCTTGTGCGGGCCCGTCCTCACTTGCTTACGTAGATGCTTTGTCCTTATTGTCTTGTACTCTTGCATCTCAATATATTTGCTATATACCTGCATGTGAACTGGCCTTGTGGCTCTTTTGCTTCCTCTCGGACTGTGTGGTGACTTTGAGCTCCACCCTGAGATTTGTCTTGTTCTTGTGGACTGGTCTTGTGACCCTTGCTTGTTCATGTTCTTGCTGACTGGTCATGTGACCCTTGTTTGCTCTCAGACTGTGTGTGTCCTTGAGACCCACCCTGAGACATGTGTTGTCTTTCCACGGGGTTACCGTCACCTAGACTATGGGGGTGTGTCAACATATATTTTATATGTGTTGTTTAGGTTAGTCTAGGTGTTACATTTCTACTTCCTTGCATGATTAGGGTTTGCTATATCTAGGGTTGTACTTCACATTTTCAATCAATTTCATTCTTATCTTAACACCCTCCTCCCCCACCGCCGCTGCTACCACCTCCACCGCTCCCAGTGCCTCCGCTGCCCCCACCACCACCTCCACCACCTCCACCCCCACGACCACCTCCACCACCTCCACCTCCCCCGCCGCCTGCACCACCGCCACCTCCACCGCCACCCCCACCTCCCCTGCCACCCTTGCCGCCCCTGCCGCTGCGACGCTTCCCACTAGGAGCGGAAGCAGCCCCGACCTCCTCAGCACCAAGGTAGTCGTGAGCAGCAGCTGCGGAGGCGTAGGAGGGGGTGAGAGGGGAGGGGGAGCACCCCTCAAAGAGGGGAGAGCGAGGAGTGCCACGAGCAGCACCTACAGCGAGGATGCTCTTCTCTGCTGCGACGAGGTGCTTCTCGAAGTCGTCGACAGTGAGAGTGGGGGGGTCTAGCGCGAGGAAGTGGTCCCTGACTGAGCTAAGAGTGTCAGGGAGGCGGGTGACGAGGAAATAGAGAGTGAAGTACATCAGAGGGGGGGGGGTGTTTGCGGCGCAGAACTCGGCTGGAAGGGCGGCACGAAAGCGAGTGTCAGTAGCGCGCAGGTGGGAAACGAGGTCCTCAGCAGTGGTGAACGAGGAAAGGTCGGGGAACAGGTAGGGTAGCATGAGCCGACCTATGGCTGCAGTGGTCGGGGAGGAGTAGCGCGCAACTACAGCGTCGTACAGCGTCTTAGCAGTTTTGTGCTGGCTGAAATGCGCGCGCTCAGTAATCGGCAGATGGTTCCTAATAGCTAGGCGTGCAGCAGCATCACGAGTCTACCACTGCGAGCGTTCGAGAGCAGGAGCATCGGCAGCAGGAGCAACGGCAGTGCCAGACACGTAATCGAACAGTGAAACGCCCTCTTTGGCATCGGTCAGAAGGAACAGTTGGAGGTCGTCTAACCACACAGCGAACTCTATGGGGCGACCGTCAGGCTCAAACGCGAGAACGTTAGGCGTCGTCATAATGGCAGTAGGCAAAGACAGTAGCCAGCAGGCAGCAGACAAGAGGCAGTAGGCACCAGGCCGCAAGCAAGGACAGAGGCAGCAGGCAGCAGGTAGGAGGCAGCAGGCAGTAGGCAGCAGGCAGTAGCGGCCGCACGCGAGCTCCTAAAGCAGTGCGCTAGGCAGCAGCGGGCCGCGCAGGCGGCCGACGTGACGCGCGGGCGGCGGACGCGGCGCGCGGCGCGGCGGCGGGCCGCGCTGGCGACAGACGCGGCGCGCGGGGCGACGGCGGGCTGCGTGCGGCGGTGGGCTGCGCGGGCTCGACGCGGGCTGCGCGGGCGACGCGGGCCGGCGCGCGGCGCTGCAGTAGTGGCGCGCGCGAAAAAGTGACACGCGCGCGAGCAGCCGAGGCGCGCGCGAAAAAAAAGTGACGCGCGCGCGTCAGCAGCCAAGGCGCGCGCGAGCAGCAGGCAAGGCAGGCAGGCAGTAGGTGAGGTAACACAGTTACGGGTGGGCCCTATTCTTAGGTCCTAGAGACCTCCTGCTCTAGATACCATGTTGAGACTAAGGCAAGGATGATGAGATTAGGTGAAGGTTGGGGTACAAGACTAGAGTGTCGAGAATGTTTCTGTACCCCCTAAGGCTAGCCCCAATATAGCCTAGATACTAATATGCATATGTTTTGACATCTATTACGTAAAAACAAGCACCAACCGTATCTGGGTACCCGCGTACTCGCTACTGAGGGAACTGTTACTGCAGGAGGCGCACGACGGGATTACCTCGGGACATTTCGGGGTAGAAAAAACGCGACAGCAACTGCAGCGGTATTACTACTGGCCGGAGCTGTTGACCGACGCACAGCACCATGTGGGCTCGTGTCCTACGTGTCAGGTGATGAAGAGCTCGCGAAAAAGAAAGGCGGGTCAGTTGCAGCCGATTCCACCGCCTGAGCGCGCCTGGCAGCAGGTTACCATGGATTTCGTCACAGGGTTACCTTCGAACCCTGGGGGTAACGACGCGGTTATGGTCGTCGTTGACAGGTTGACGAAGATGGCACACTTCGCTGCGTGCAAGAAATCGATCTCAGCCGAAGAAACCGCTCGCCTGTTCATCGCAGCCGTCGTTCGACTTCACGGGATACCAGCCGCGATAATCAGCGACCGCGACACGAAGTTTACCAGCAACTTCTGGAAAAACCTCTGGGAGCAGTTCGAGATAAGGCTACAGTTCAGCTCGTCGTACCACCCCGAGACCGACGGTCAAACGGAGCGGACGAATCAGACGATGGAGCAATTGATTCGTGCCACGTGCGACGACCCGACCACTTGGGAGCAGCAGCTGCCGCTGATCGAGTTCGCGTATAACAACGCCACGTCAACGACGACGCAGCAGTCCCCCTTCTACCTGAACTACGGGCAAAACCCTACAGTGCCCATGACGCCGAGTCCGGACAACCCAACACCACGTGCACAGCAATTCGCCGAAATTCTGCAAGCTGCCTGCACCAGAGCCGCTGAAGCAATTAAAAAAGCCAACGCCATCGCTGAACGCAACGCTGACCGCCACCGCCGCCCAGTCACGTACCAGTCAGGAGACTACGTACTGCTCGACACACAGAACTTACGACTGCCCGTCGTACCGAAATTACGACCCCGCTACTGTGGACCATTCCAAATCAGCCACATGATTACCCCAGTGACAGCTCACCTACTGTTGCCGACGGACTGGTACATCAGCCCTTCGTTCCACGTCAGCGTGCTTCGCCCATACATCCCAACCACAAGCCAACTGCCTCGTCACCGCCCGCCATCCATGACCCGCCCTGCATCGGAGCCGATCATCGAACCCGAAAAAATCCTGAGCCATCGGATTCGACACCCCACGGGAATCAGGAGGATTGAATTCCTCGTTCGCTGGAAGGATCGCACGCCAACTGAAGATAGCTGGGTGCCCCTGGCCAACATCGAAAACCACCCTGCCCTGCAAGTGTACCCGAGGAGCCGGGGTTTCCGCGACATACACGCACTCGCGTAGCGGAGGGGGCTTCTTGAGGGGGGGGGGGTAGTGTAAGGAATTTTCTCGATATTCCTTAGCACGCCCTGCAACATCTCGTACAGCAGCAGCCGTTGTTCGCCCGTTACTGCTAACGGGGCTTCGCCGACTTCGCGCGCACTGTTTCACCAAACCTCGCACTGCTGGCCTGGCCGTGTCGGCCTACGCTTCGGGACTAGCCCGAGCCTCGCTTCCAGCATAGCACTAGCTAGCTCGCACGCACCGCGTTACCGTTTGCATGTTTCGCGTATAAATGTTCGCTCATGCCTTCGCTCACATTTTGTACTCGTTTGACACCTTAGTGCAATTCTCGCTACTTCGATTCATTGCACCCGTAACAGAAAGTTTCATCAGAATGTGAGGGTATGTATAATCAGTATCTGTTATGAGCATATAATGTATACGTAGGAGATGGCCACATTAAGTCTTGTAGGATACGGCATGAGGTCCTAGACGTTTGAAGGATACAGCTGTTGTTGCATCTGCCACCAGGCATAATGCCTACTGATCAAATTGCATGATCATGCGTTGCTGTCACTGAAATATGCATCTACCTCACTCATCCGCTCATGAAGCAACCTCAGCCGACGAATATCCAGAGAGAAAGTTGACATCTGCGTGCCTATGAAGAAGCGGGCGTTGGCACAGATGTGCTTCTCTGCAAGCGCCCTAAGGCTGCCATTCCCCTCTGAATCCAAGTCTTGGAATTTCTTCACCCAGCGAAACTGGGAATACTCCTCCGATTCCTTGGCAAACTCCGGCAGGCGCACCACCACAAGGGGGTTCGTGCTGCCCGCACCTGAAGGACAGGAAGCACAAGGAGATTCATCAAACAGAAGAGGGGGTTAGCTTAATAGACAGGATGAGGCAGAAAACAAATGCCGGTATCAGTAGAGGATGTCACTGAAAAAAAAATATTAGCTCAAGCCAAGAGGTATCAGGGTGTAGAACCATCACCTGTATACGTATTGAAACTTGAGGTGTACTACTCACCAAGAAACAGGATTTGGGGTGAATCCAGGCGTGTACTCACCGAGGAACAGTTTCTCCAGCAGTTGAATCTCGGACGGGCTTGCATCAGTCGCAAGGTACACCACAGACACGCCCGTATCTCTCAACCTCTCGCTGATAAACCGTGCGACTGTGACTACAGGAAGGAAGGTTGCGCGATCCGTCTCGCTGCTCTTGTTTTGGAACCTCCCGGCGAAATCGCCCCGCCTTAGGTGCACCGCTGCGTACTCCGACCCCAGAAACGTGCCAACGAAACCGTTAACGAAGTTGTCTATAACGAGGGGGGGCTGCCAGATGTCCGCGCAGGTGCTTGTAAAGGGCGGAACGGCGCCCTCGAAGTAGAAAGGCGGCCCGCGCAGGACAAAGTGAAACGCATCCCCGAGGCTGATGACAGGCGCGTCGTTATAAGGGGCGTAGGCGCGCAGAAAGTCGGTGACGTGCTTGGTGGGTATGCTGGGGTATTCCAGATTGTTGGGTAGCGTGATGTGCGGAAAGTGCTCCTTAATCTGTGGAGCATGCAGAGGGGATGGGGGAGGGGGGGCAGGGGGGTCAAAGGATGGGAATAAGGATGGGGATGGGGATGGGGATGGGGATGGGGATGGGGATGGGGAAGGGGATAGGGATGGGGATGGGGATGGGGATGGGGAGGGGGATGGGGATAGGGATGGGGATGGCATGCTGAGTGTATTGAATCAGGGAGTGTGGTGTGTGAATAGCGGTGTTTCGTCTGGCAAACAGGCAGAGGGAAGGGTGGAAAGCGATGGTAAGGATGTCAAGGGTCAAGGGCGGTATTCGGAGGGGTTGAGTCAGATGCAGGGGGTTTACAAGGGTGTGAAAGAGCAAGGGTGGGAGTGAGTGAGGGTGGGACTTCTGCTCACCATGTGCCACTTGTCGAGACACGAGCGGCTCATGACACACGCAATGTGATCGATTGCCACGTCACGACCCTCCCTCGCCACGTACTCATCCACTGTAATAACAGTCTCGTTAGTGCCATAAGCCGGCGCGAGGCACGCCCTCGTTCTAGTCACATCCACGATATTGTCCCAACGCCAGCAGAGCGTTCTGTAAACGGTCACGCCGCAACCCTCGTTCGGAATCACCAGCGTGCGCTGCAGAAGCGCGGCGGCGATTAAGTAGTTCCGCAAGCACCGCTGCTGATTGGACAGCCGCCCGAGCACGCAAAGCGCCACAAGGTACCGGTTTTTCCTGGGCGTCCAAGATTCGATCTTCTGGCGCGCCGGAGAAACGGCGTCAGTCAGCTCCAGCGCTGACGTGTACGGCGATTCGATTGCCCTCTGCTTCGGCTTGACGTCTTTGTTAGAATCTTTCAATCCAGTCGTTTCTATAACGGGGATACGTGCTCCGTTACTGGGTCCGCGGGTTGGCTTCGAAAGCGGCACGGCTTCTGCTAGAGTCCGTCGTTCAATCTCCGCCTTTCGGCTCGAGCTGCTGCTGCCTCTCACGCTTTCACCAGAGCTGCTGGCTTCGCCGGTGCGTCCTCTTCCGGAGCTATATGCCGCGGCATTGTTTACAATCGGAGCAGCAGCAGGCTTTCCGCAAAGCTTTCCAACCCTAGTAAGCAGCGACAGCAGAACCCTCCACTTGTTGGGCAATTTCAATTTCGGGAAATGCGGCAGGTAATCTTGCCGTGCCTGAAAGCTTCCCAACCCTAGTAACGCGGCTTGTCCACTGGAGCTTTCAGTGTTGGTGTTGCTTCCAGACGCGGCGGCGGCGACAGCGCAGTTGAAGGTGAGAGCAAGCAGTGACGCGGCGGCGAGAACTGCACAGCGACGCGACGCATTGGAAAAAGCTGAAGGCAACGGGGCACTTTTTGGGGCAGTCATTCCGGTCCGCATTATGATTAGCCCGCCGGAATCGCCGCGCCGAGTTTCGGAGGAAGAGAGGTTCGTCGTGGGACAACTGCTGGTGGGAGGGAGGATCAAGCTGTGGAAGGAACTCTGACGAAGTCCTCAGTGTGCTGCTGAAGTATCAACAGACGCGTCACACCTTCCGCAAGTTCTGAACTACGCCCGACGTAGATAGTAGAAAGACTCTGACTGAGTCCCTGCGTCAAAACTACGATAGTGCGTCTTTGTAGTAATATTTTTCGACGTGCGCTTCCAACTACTCCGCCTGCTGACGCCTACAAGCATTTTCCGCCTTAGATTCGTCGCCGATCGCACGAGCGCTGGTGCCGGCCGGAACCACGAGGCGCAGGTGAATCGAGAGAAGCAACAGCTGCAGTGCTTGCGAGATTCCAAAGAACGCCACATACTACTGTAAGGACTACTACTAGTACTGTAGTAGCAGCCGTCTACTAAACAATGGGCAGTTCTCGAGTTGCATTCCATCCACGCTCCAACTTCACTCTAACGCCTGCTCTGTTCCAACAGAAGTTTGTACGGACTCGCCACTAAAACCACCCCTTGAGCATATCACTTCCAACTACTCCGCCTGATGGCGCCTACAAGCATTTTCCGCCTTAGATTCGTCGCCGATCGCACGAGCGCTGGTGCCGGCCAGAACCACGAGACGCAGGTTGATTCAGTGCTTGCGAGATTCCAAAGAACGCCACATACCGAAACGACTACGCACTAGCAGCCTCCTAAAAACTGGGCAGTTCGATTCATGGCTGTGAGCGTGTTCACGTGCATTCCGTCCAAGTTCCGATTCCGACTTCACCACTCGACTCTGCTCTGCTCCAACAGAAGTTTGTACGGACTCGCCACTAGAACCACTGCAGGCTGAGGTGAGGGAGTGTAAGTCAAGACCACCATCACTTCACCACCACACAATTCACCCGATACACGACCACACAATCCACTCCTAAAGCATATTATACACCACCACACACTTCTGGAGGGCCAAAAGGGAGTCATCTGTGGGATCCCCCCAATTCCTTTTCAGGAACAATTCTCAAATTTATTTTGTAAAATGGCAGGCCAGTACCATACGGCATTTGTGCGATTTCAGTCTACATTTGCGTACCATCTATGTGTTTTCTTACCACCCCAGAACCGATCTGACCAAGCGTATTCATAACCAAGCAAAATAATTGGCTTAACAATATTCATGCCTCATTATCCAGAAACGCATCCAGTTCGTTCATCCTCCCATGCAGCACTCTCAACCTAAAAATATCCATAGTGAAAGTTGACTTCGGCGTGCCAATAAAGAAGCGCGCATTAGCGCAGATGTGCTTCTCTGCAAGCGCCCTGAGATTGCCATCTTCCTCTGAATCCAAGTCTTGGAATTTCTTCACCCATGGGAACTGGGAATACTCCTGCGACCCCTTGGCAAATTCCAACAGACGCACAACCACAAGGGGGGTAGTGCTGCCCGAACCTGAAGGATAGGGAACGCAAGAGATGTCAATAAGAAGACAGGTTGAGCCTGAAGAGCAGAGTTGTATCGAGGGCCGGCAAGGCAATACAGAATGCGACAAAATTACCAGCGCGAAGAGGCATCAGATGTGTTAATTTCTGGGTTTACTCACCAAGAAGCAGCCTCTCCAGCAGTTCAATCTCAGACGGGCTTGCATCGGTTGCAAGGTAGACCACAGATGCGCCCGTATCTTTCAACCTCCCAACAATGAATTGTGCAACCGTGACTATGGGAAGGTAGGCAGCATGCGTCTTCTCCACACTGTTCCCCTTCAAGTAATGCAGGGCGAAATCGCTGCGCCTAAGGTGCACCGCTGCATAATCCGATCCCAGAAACGTGTCGATGAAACCGTTAACAAAGTTGTCTATAACGGGGGGAGACAGCCAGATATCCGCGCAGGTGCTTTTAAAGGGTGGAACCGCCGACCAGAAGAAGAAATGGAGGTGGATCAGAGACATGCCAAAGGCATTCCCAAGGCTGATCACAGGCGCGTCGTTATAGGGAGCGTAGGCATGCAAAAAGTCGTTGACGTCCTTGGATGGTATGGTGGGGTACTCGAGCTTATCTGGCAAAGTGATGTGCGGATAGTGCTCCTTGACCTGTGGAGCATGTGAAGAGGGTGGGGTAAAGGGATGGGGATGGGAATGAATGAGCGTCTAGAGGTATTTCAACCTCTGTGGCAGGTGAGGGTGTAGCATGGATCAGAATGGGGATCTGGGATGTGGGCCGGATGGGAAAGGGTTTGGGGATTAAGATGGTTGATCATGCTGGGATGGGATGGCTGATCATGCAGGGATGGGATGGCTGATCATGCAGGGATGGGAGGGCTGATCATGCTGGGATGGGATGGCTGATCATGTGGGGAGAGAGATGTGCGGATGGTGTGCCTTCACCTGTGGAGCAAGGGAAGAAGGTAAAGTCAAGGGATGGCGATGGGGATGGGTATGAGAATGGGTATGAGGATGGGTATGAGAATGGGTATGAGGATGGGTATGAGAATGGGTATTAGGATGGGTATGAGGATGGGTATGAGGATGGGTATGAGAATGGGTATGAGGATGGGTATGAGGATGGGTATGAGGATGGGTATGAGGATGGGTATGAGGATGGCTCCGCATGGGGAGGTATTCAGCCTGCGGGGCCATGCGGAGCCATGGGGGGCCATGGGGGGCCATGCGGGGCCATGGGGGGCCATGCCATGCGGAGCCATCCTCATAGCAGTGGTGGGGTATGGGAGTAGTGAGCGGATAGTGGTGTTTCGACTGGCGCACAGACGAAGGGAAGGGTGGAGTGGATAGAGATGGCAGGGAGGTTAAGGGTTACAAGGGAGGAATTTCGGGGGTTGTTGATTCAGAGATGAAAGAGGCAGGAAGTGACGGAGGGAGTGACAGAGCGAGGGTGGGAGTGGGGGAGGGTTGGTGCGAGAAATGAAAGAGTGTGTTGCTGACTCCACCAGTCAGCGATAGAGAAGAGAGCGACGTAGCTGTCTGTAGCAAGAATGTCATGATTACACGAGATGTAAGAACATACGTACAAATCACCGTTCGAGAGAGAGGAGGTGTAGCAACGGAGCAAATAAAGAACTGAGGAACGGTTTAGACCTCTCAGAGGGTCAACTCGGGCCAGGGTGAATAGGCTTGGTGATTCCGAGATGTCACGGATTTGTGACCGACTAGAGATGAGGAACGGTTGGGATGGGACCTCTCAGAGATGTCTACTCGCACGCACCAACAATGTAGATTGAAGGGACTGAAAATTGACTTACCATGGACCAATTGTCGAAACACGAGTGGTTGGAAACACACGCGATGTGATCGATTGCCACGTCACGACCCTCCCTCGCCACGTACTCGTCCACCGTGATAACAGTCTCGTTAGTGCCATAAGCCGGCGCGAGGCACGCCCTCATTCGAGGAACATCCACGATGTTCTCCCAGCGCCAGCAGTATGGCTTGAAGGCCACGCCGCAGCTCTCGGTCGGAATAACCAGCGTTCGCTGCAGAAGCGCGGCGGCGATTAAATAATTCCGCAAGCACTGCTCCTGATTGGACAGTCGCCCGTACACGCACAGCGCGACAAGGTACCGGTTTTTCGGGGGCGACCAAGATTCGATCTTCTCTTGAGACGAGTCGATCAGATTCGCGTACGGCGAGTTGATTGTCGTCTGCTTTGGCTTGTCGGCGCTGTTAGTACCACTAGAAGTGGCGGTAATATCTTTCGCTGCGGTTATTTCGATACGGGAGATGCGGGCTCCGTTACTGGGTCCGCTTTGCTTCGAAAGCGACGCAATCTCTGCTAGAGCCCGTTTCCTAATCGTCTTTCGAATCGTACCGCCGCTGCTGCCTCCGCGTCTCCCACTTTCGCTCGAGCTGCTGCTGGCTTTCCAAGCCGCAGCATCGGTGCTTCCGCTTCCGTAGCTATTCGCCATCGCATTGCTTACAGATTGAATCTGAACAGCAGGCTTTCCGCGAAGCGCGGCCCCAACCCTCACTAGCGGCGAAACCAGATCCCTCCACTTGATGTTTGAATTCGGCAAATGTGGTGGCAGGTACCCTTGCCGTGTCTGTGGTGTCCACAGTGACGCGCTTCCACTGGTGCTTCCAGACGCCACGGCGCTGAGTGCGGCGCAGTTGACGCTGAGAAGAAGCAGCGACGCGGCGGCGACTCGGAGAAGTGTAGCGCATGAAGTACTACCCGCACTGGAAAAAGCTGCACGCCGCGCCGCCTGCAGTTCTTCGGGCGATCGCCGAGCCGCCCTGCTTCCGAGTCGGCCAGTTCTCCCGGTCTGCTGCAGCACGATGATCATCGTGACTTGCAGTTCTTATTAGGACCCTTCTCTGAGTTGGTACTACTAAACCGGCGACTCTCGTGACTAATAACGCGGCGACTCTCGGAGAAAAGAGGTTCGTAGTGGGTTGACGGTGAGACAGCGAGTGGTAGAAGTAGGGAGGACGACGCTGTGTTTTCCCTTCAGAAGGTATCGACAGCTACCAGGTAGAGTCGACAGGCGCATCACACGGTCAAGGTGACCTCCTGTCACACCTTTCGCAAGCCCTGAACTCCGTCCCTCTGATATTTTAGAGGTGTGCCTTGACCTGCGGCCACCTGCTAGCAATTTCCGCTTCCGAGGCATTTCGGGCTTCGTAAAAAGTGACTTCCACGCAAGTTCGTGGCCGTGCCGAGGTCCTTGGAGGAAATCGCACGGTGGAGAATGAGAATAAGGCATCGCCGCCCACAGTCGCAGGAGTTGTCTAAGAAGTCAGTTGTCCAAAACAACCTGAAGAATCCTCCTCACTAAACATCGTCGCAGCCAGCATGAGCGCTGCTGCCGCCGAGAACGACGAGGCGCAGGGTAATCGAGAGGCGTGACTTAGAATGCCACATATGAGCAGGTCTAGCGGGCTGCCGTCAAGAATAGGCAGTACGCTTTGTGGTTGGGGTTTTGTGTGGGGTGGGGGGGGGAGTGTACCGTACCGTACACGCTACGCATACAGTCTCCTGAATTCCAATTTTAATTTTACAATCGCCACCAGAACCACTGCAGCAACAGTAGTTTGTACCGAATCGCCACCAGAAGCACTGCAGCCACGACCACCACCACGCACCACTGCAGCCACGACCACCACCGCGCACCACCGCACCACACATTCCATACCTACACATGCACCACCGCACCACTCACACTACATACCTACAACACGTGCACCACCGCACCGCACCGTACATCTCATACCGACGACACATGCAAACCTCACACATCCCATCCAGGCCTGTCGATTCAAGGGCATATGCCCTTAATGCCCTGAACATTCCGGGCTACTTTTGCTCCAGCTCGACTGCCAAAAGTGCTAGATTCGCACTGCACCCGTGCCACTAAGTGCCTCGCTCGACCCTTCCCCGGATGCGTTAAGGGCCCAAACCAGGCCTTCCCCTGTCTCGAAGTTTGGTTTCTGGTTGTAGGACCCACCCCCCCCCCTCCCCAAATTCTGCCTGACCCCACCCCCCTTTCTCCTTAGGTTGCACGAGAGGAGTGGATTTTTCCCTTAGCGTTTTCTAGCCAATCCTGTGTTTGTAAAGTGTCTAAGTCAGCTTGGAGCACCCGAATTTTCCCTTAGCGTCTAAGTGTCCCTCCCCCCCCCCTTTTCCTCCTCACACGAGAGGAGTGGATTTTCCCTTAGCGTTTTCTAGCCAATCCTGTGTTTGTAAAGTGTCTAAGCCAGCTTGGAGCACCCGAATTTCCCCTTAGCGTCTGACGGTCCCCCCCCCCCTTTCTCCTTAGGTTGCACGAGAGGAGTGGATTTTTCCCTTAGCGTTTTCTAGCCATCCCTTGTTTGTAAAGTGATGAAGTCAGCTTTGGAGTACCCAAATTTTCCCTTAGCGTCTAAGTGCAAACTCTTCACAGGCCCGGATTTTAAGTTTTCACTTTGGGGTGCGCCCGTGACCGTTAAGGGCGCCCAAACGCTCAGCTACACCAAAAACAGGGTCAGATGGGGAGGAGCTGGGGAGCGCAAGTATGGGTCCCAGGAACTTCGACAGGCCTGATCCCATCCCATCCCACAAAATCCAACCCATGGCCCCAATTCCACCCCTCACACAGTCACACCCGAGGGGAGAGCGGGGATGTTGATTGCTTTGGGGTGTGTGATTCAGGCAAGTTGGTGAATGCACGGGGTGGATGTGCGGGAATAGGGTGTGTAGTGGGCTGCACGGTGGTGCACGGTGGTGTCGAGTGCAGTGGTTTTTGTGGCACGAACTTCTGTGCTTGAGGCTCAGAGTACGCAATCAAATGCACATGAAACTCTCAGCCATGGACCAAATATAGAACTGCCCATCTTCAGAAGGCAGCTAGACCTTTCGTAAGTAGAGTCGTACTTCTCTTTAATAATCTGCGCCTCGTTGTTCTGGCCGGCAGCCGTGCTCCTGCGGGTTGCGACGATCACCAACTTCCTAACAAGCGACCGCATTGCGACTTTCTGCGACTGTGTGCGACGCCCAATTACCGTGCGTTATCCTCCAACGACCTGGGCACAGCGACGACGATTTGTTTAGAAGTCACCTCTTACGAAATCGAAATGCTTCTCAACCGGAAGACGCTAGTAGGTGCCCGGCGCCCGCAGGTCCAAGCAGGCACCTTCGAAAGATTACAAAGACGGACGCAGCGTAAACTTGCGGAAGGTGACTTGGATGCGCCTGTTATTGATACCTTCAACACTTCCTCCCACAGATTTTCCTCCAAGCTTCCTCCCACGGCTTTGACATTTCTCCTGATAGTCGTCTCGCTACGAACTCTCTTTCTCTGAGAGCCGGCGCGTCACAATGCCGTCGCGGAGCGGAACAACTGCCCGAAGAAGGGTCCGATCGATCGAAGAACTGCTGGCGCCGCCAGCTCTTTCCGGTGCGGGGATTTCATGCACTGCACTTGTCGCCGCGTTGTTGCTCGTTCTCAGCGTCAACTGCGCCGCAGTCGGCGCCGCGTCTGGAAGCACCCGCCTTGGGAGTGGATTCGTAGGAGAAGCGTCACTCCGGACGCCACAGACACGGCAAGAAGAGTCCCTGCATTTGAAGGATTTTCTGCTGCTGCTTCGTGGAAAGGCTGTTTCTGCGTATAACTACGCAAGCGGAAGAACCGGCGAAAGCGGGAGTCGCGGCGGTGGTAGCAGCAGCCGTACGACTCGTCTGAACCAACGTCGCAGAAATGTTCAAACGGACCAACGCCGCGACAGTGACAGCGACAGCGCTCGACGCCGAAACGACGAGCGCAGCATTAGGGTTACCACCAGGAACGCCAGCTCGTCAGGGGACGCGGCGGGAAAGAGCGCTGTACCCCGGGAGTTGCACGCTGAAAGACGGACTCTAGCAGAGATAGCCAGTGGAGTGAAGGATAACAGCGACGGCAAGCCAAAGCAGAAGAAAATCGAATCGCCGTACACGTTGTCGCTGCAACCTGATTCATCCCAGGGCAAGATCGAATCTTGGACGCCTCAGAAGAACCGGTACCTTGTTGCGCTTTGCGTGTACGGGCGGCTGTCCAATCAGGAGAAGTGCTTGCGTAACTATATAATCATCGCCACGCTCCTGCAGCGAACGCTGGTTATTCCGACCGAGAGCTGCGGCGTGTCTTTCTCGACCCTCTGCTGGCGTTGGGACAACATCGTGGATGTGACTAGAATGAGGGCGTGCCTCGCGCCGGCTTATGGTACTAACGAGACTGTTATTACGGTGGATGAGTACGTGGCGAGGGAGGGCCGTGACGTGGCAATCGATCACATCGCGTGTGTTATGGACCACACATGTCTAGACAACTGGGCCATTGTGAGCAGCCGTCCCACAACCTTTTCGCAGCTCGTTGATTGATTCAATCTACATAGCAAATACCATACTAGTAGACCGTTTTTGCAACCGTCGAGTCTTTCTTGCTTGCTACATCCCTCTTCTTTAACTCGTATCCTCGTTCCTACCATTCCTGCCTGCCTCCCCTTGTCGCCTCTGTCACTTACCTCTTTTGAAATGCCCCGTCCTCATTTCCACACTCACCTCCATCCCCATCCCCATCCCCATCCCCATCCCCATCCCCATCCCCATCCCCATCCCCATCCCCAACCCCTCCACTTGCCGAACAGGTCAAGGAGCACTATCCGCAGATCACGCTGCCAGATAAAGTCGAGTACCCCACCATACCCAAGGAAGTCAACGACTTTCTGCACACATTCGCCTATAACGACGCGTCTGTCATCAGCCTCGGGGATTGCTTCAGCATAAGCCTGCGCGGCCTCCCTTTCCGTATCGAAGGCGCGGTTCCGCCGTTCAATTCCACCTGCGCGGACATTTGGCAGCCTCCTCCCGTTATAGAGAACTTTGTTAACGGATTTATCAGGAGTAGTAGTAGTAGTAGTAGTAGTAGTAGTAGTAGTAGTAGTAGTAGTAGTAGTAGTAGTAGTAGTAGTAGTAGTAGTAGTAGTAGTAGTAGTAGTAGTAGTAGTAGTAGTAGTAGTAGTAGTAGTAGTAGTAGTAGTAGTAGTAGTAGTAGTAGTAGTAGTAGTAGTAGTAGTAGTAGTAGTAGTAGTAGTAGTAGTAGTAGTAGTAGTAGTAGTAGTAGTAGTAGTAGTAGTAGTAGTAGTAGTAGTAGTAGTAGTAGTAGTAGTAGTAGTAGTAGTAGTAGTAGTAGTAGTAGTAGTAGTAGTAGTAGTAGTAGTAGTAGTAGTAGTAGTAGTAGTAGTAGTAGTAGTAGTAGTAGTAGTAGTAGTAGTAGTAGTAGTAGTAGTAGTAGTAGTAGTAGTAGTAGTAGTAGTAGTAGTGGTGGTGGTGGTGGTGGTGGTGGTGGTGGTGGTGGTGGTGGTGGTGGTGGTGGTATGAAGACGCTTAAACACGTTTAGATTAAGTCGTACCAAATCTAATTATAATGCTGTTAAAGTAAATCGGATACTACACTGTGTGGGAATCAAATACACAGATAATATGAATCTGGTAATATGTGCTGTCGTAGTTTAGGATTCTTCAATAGCTTGATAATTTGCATAAATCATGTGCTAATACAGTCTCAAGTGACGTGATACACTAACTTTCAATTTTAGGGCCTGTCTGTCTAGTTTGGTAACAACGCTGGGGAGACGGATGCCCTTAGTTTGGTAACACAATTCTGACTTATCAACGGTTCTCCGGTTCACCGCGTTGACACAATCTGACTCAACATTTTCCGCCAAACAAAACTTCGCCCCAGCACAGGTGCTCTCGACCGTCGATCCCAAACTGTCAAATCTTGACCATCAACCTTTACAGCCTCCCCACCCAGACGAGCATCTCGTCATCTCGATTCTCCCTCCCCCTTATCTGTCACCACATATATGTGCTTGCGTTTTTTTGTTGTGTTTCCTGTCTGCCATAGATACACGTTTTCTCAGCCACGGAATTGTCCCGGTCTCGTCGATCCACTATGCGCCAGGCGTATCGGCGCTGGTTGTCGCGCTGCTCGTAACGTCGTCGACGGGTCCTTTAGTGTTCGAGGTTTCATGTTGTTGCGAAATCGAGAACTGTAGGAACGCGAAGTCTCTTGCTTCTTCGTTTCTCCTATCCACGCTTTCCCGTTCCTTCCTACTAACGTTATTCTTTTCTTTGCAGAGAGCGACTATCACGAGTGGCGCATCGCACTCGATTGGCCGATCGCTCGCAGCATCACGCGGCAAGCGGCGCACTTCCGCCACAGCATGAGGAACTTCCGCCGCCGCCGCGTGCGGAACTTGTGAGGTGTGGCGGCGCTGGTTGTCGCGAAGTTTCATTCGCGAGCCATTAATGTGTTTTTTCCTGCGTTCCCTCCTTCCCTCGTTCCTTCTCTGTTCTCCCCGCTCTCTCCGTTTTTCCTTCTAATTTTCCTACATCCCCGTTTTCCCGCGTTCCTAATTCCCAATTCCCCGTCACCCATACTTGTGTTCGCAGATAGCACTAGCGTGGCGCCACGGACCAAGAGCACCTCGCGCGCGCGCTCGCTCGCTCCCGTGCACCTTGCGAGCGCGCGCTCGCTCGCTACAACGCACTCGACGAATGGCTTCAGCAGCGGCAGTGTAGCGTGGTGAGTGTAACGAATGTAGCTAGGAGCTGTGGGGCCCTGATTCTTCAACCCGCTGCCGTCATGTTCCCACTTGCGCTACTTCTCTCTCCCCTCCCTACCGTCCGCCCTCATGTTCTCATGCGCCTGCCTCCCTTGCTCCCCCAACCGTGCGCTCCCACACCCCATCCCCTCAGGGCGGCGACGTGTTCGACTTCCCCTTCTCAACCCGTCTGCCCTTTCCCCTCCTTGTGCCGCTCTTCCCCGCCGCCTCCCCTTCCCCCTCTTCTCCCCCCTTATCTGCGCCCACCAGAGTCTACCTTCCGCCCTGCCTCAGATGGCCACTACTCCGCCCATCCCTCCCCCACCCGCAATGCCTCACTCCTCCCGCCCCCTCTTCCCCCCCCCTTCCCCCCCCCCCTTTCCCCCACTTGCCATGCTCTTGTGACATTTCATGAGTCGACACCGTGTATTGCAACCAGCCTGCCCGTGGTTCCAGCAGGACCTCTTTCCAGGCAGGTGGAGGTAAGTGCCCATTTTATTTCCTTTGTTTTTTTTTTGTTTGTTTGTTTGTTTGTTTTTTTTTTTAATATATATTTTTTTTGTCGTTGGGCATCAAATGAAATGTTGCTGACTTCCTAACTTGTTTCTCTGTGCAGGTTAAATATAAACCGAAGGCTTGGTAAGGAGCTGTTTTAAAAGCTCTGTTGATAATGGCTACTAGGTCAAATATTTAACTAGTTATATTGCATATCCATGTAGTTTGTGCTAAATAATCCTGGATGCAATTTGTGTGATTTATATAAACCATAATCTCGAACAAGTACAGCAATTAATTAGAACACCAGCAAAGCATTGTACAGTAAATGGGATATTTATAATAATCGTGTTACGACCATTATCGTAGTTACCAGGTTATTTTGATGGACGAGGTCGTCTGTAACGCGATTGTGAAACCGAAGGATCGTTGGACACGTGTCGAAGCATCGACAGTCAGATCTTGTGGTGGTTTACAACTGTTGATGAATGTGTTTTTTTTTTTTGTAATATTTTCGACACACAGTTGTAGCGAGTTGGTCCGTAACGGAGATTTCCGCATCAATTTCAGTTCACAGAAATCAGACACGTGGACAGTGTCGGTTTTTTTCGCATCCACACAGAATTGAGTAACCGTTTTCGAAAGACACCCGCACGGTGTTCGTCAGCGAATCCGGAACGCGCCTACATTCTGGGAGAGCCGAGGTTGAAATGCAGGTTGAGATTCAAACTTACCTTCACGATACCCTGAAACATACGTTTGCCGAACCTGCGAACACATGCCGAGCTTCAAACCCTCTGAAAACGTATGTTTCCCACTGTCGTGAACGTAGCTCCTGAAAAACAAACCCCCCCGCAACTCTGACGATACCCCACCTTGGTTTCTGAAGCACCAATTTTTGAGATGGAGAACTGCGGCATAGTAGCGACGCCGCGAGATAGTACCTTCAGCGCGGCATGAAGTACGATCCGCAGCATGGGAGACGCTGACGCGGCCGGCGGCGATGGAACAGCAGTTGATGATCTGGCCCGCGACATTGTAATGACCCGCGTTACTACTAGCAACGCGGCGACTCCGAGTCGGAGACAGAAAGGTTACTACTAGTCGAGGCTTTCCCTTTCTAAGGATGAACAAGCTGGGGGAGGAGAGTTGACGGAGTATCACCTGTAACCGGCGCATCCCACCTCCGCAAAGTTCTAAACCAGCGTCCTCTTGTTGTACTAGTATTCTAGGGGTGTGGTTGTCCTCCAGTGGGTCACTCCGCCTGTAGCCGCCAGCTAACATTTTCCGCGCTGAAGATTCGCCGTCGCAGCTCGCACGAGGGCAAAAACCGGACCACGAGGCGCAGGTTATCGAGGTAATTGTGCTGCCGCGATGTCCGGGCTGCCTGCTTGATGGAGTATCAGATACGTATGCGTAACTACAGCCAGCGAAGAAATGGGGTGTCCAATTCGTAGCCGAGAGAGTTCAGGTGCATTTTCGTGCGCTGAAACTCCCGGCTGCAGCAACAGAAGTCTGATCTGACTCGCCTCCGTCACCGCGTTTCAAGTACATCCGCTTTCTGCCTATAAAGATTGTCTATAAGACTAACCCAGCTCCCAACTCCCAACACCACCTAGATTGAAACGTAGATATGATATGTCTAAGGTGCTCTGCCTAGTAATACATAGACATATCATATCCTCTAATGGTGCTCCGCCTAGTGAGAGAACTGAAACGTAGATATGATATGTCTCCACCTCACTGAAACCACAGCAGCAACTCCCCTCCCCGCAGCTCACATCCGAAGGGTTGTGTAGAAGTTGTATTCTTCGTGTAAAGACCTGAGAAATGCACTATACTGTACGTATAGAAACCTACTTTGTTCTTCCAATTTATTTGCATCGGGCATGTTAGTTCCTCGTTTTAGAAGTGAAAGCGATTGCAAATCGGCAGTCTGGCTCACTCTAGCCTAGTCTCTAGCTAGAGACACTAATGCAGCAAGACCTAGCATAGTCTCTAGCTCTTATTCTACTCGACCTAGCACCCATGCATGTCATCAGCTCATTATCAGTCTAAATTGCTTCAATATAAGCATCAGCGCAAGACGCCAAGCCCTGCACCTCTCGCATGCGAAAAATGTCTTTGGAATAGGACGAGTAAGGAGTCCCGATGAAATGCTTCGCCCGTGCGCATATGTGCTTCTCTGCAAGCGCTCTTGCGATGCCGTTGGTGTTTGTCCCACCCTCCATGTCCCTCTCGGCTTCGTGAAATGTCTGCACAGATGCGAGCAAGGGGGGGGTAGCGGGAAGAAGGGTAGGCAGTGGGGGTGGAGGGGAAGAGACGTGCGTCAAATTGCACATTCCTCATTCTGACAATGTGCTTCTCTGCAAGTGCTCTTGCGATTCCATTGGTGTTCGTCCCACCCTCCATGTCCCTCTTGGCCTCGTGAAATGTCTGCACAAATGTGGGCAAGGGGGGAGAAGGGGAAGAAGGGCAGAGAGTAGGGGTGGGGAAAAAGGGATGCGTTTGGCAAGCAAATCATATCAAGTGGGAGAGGGGGGAGGCCATTTTTGAGGCGCCTCAAAAATCGGCCATTTTTGAGGCGCCTCAAGAGTAGGGGTGGGGGAAAAGCGATGCGTTTGGCAAGCAAATCATATCAAACGGGAGAGGGGGGAGGCCACAAACACAAGCTCATGAATGCAAGCACTTAGATCCGATAGGGGGGGAGGTTCTTGATGAATCGCAGCATGTCGGTGTTTACCTTGACCCACGGGAATCGCTGGTATTCATCAGAAGTGGCGCCAAAGGCCGGCAGGCGCACCACAACGAGTGGACTGCCGGGCGCCATGCCTGCAGGACAAGGAAGGGAGTATAATGGGAGGGGTGGGGGATATTGAGTTACAATAGCCTACTCAAAAGGAACCACAATGAGGGGACTGCCGGGTGCCATGCCTGCCGCAGCAGAGGCGGCATGGTGACCTCGAGGCCTCTAAAGGCTAAGAATTATCGGGAAAATCGCAGGCGAACAGAAGCCTCTCAAAAGCCTCTCAGAAGCCTCTCGCGTAAACCCAGCAAGAAAGAAGAGGAGGGAGGGAGGCAGCAGCAGCAGCGCCAACAGCAGCATCATAATCTCACCCATAAGAAGCCTCTCCAGCAGCTCCACCTCGTACTGGCTGGCAGACACAAGCCTCTCAAAAGACTCAAAATCCTCTCAAGATCCTCTCAAAATCCTCCCAAGAACCTCCCAACAGCAGCATCATAATCTCACCCATAAGAAGCCTCTCCAGCAGCTCCACCTCGTACTGGCTGGCGTCGGTGGCGAGGTAGACAGCTGTCACGCTGCGATTGGCCAGGCGCCTCATGATGAAGCGCCCCACTGCCACGATGGGCAGGAAGGCGGGATGGCTCTTGGCCTGGTGCGTGCGGTGGTACACCCGCGAGAAGTCGGACCTGCAGGGGGCAAGGTGGGTTGGATGGAGAAGAGGAGGGTTAGGGTCTCTAGTTATGCCCCACTGCTACAATGGGCAGGAAGGCGGGATGGCTCTTGGCCTGGTGCGTGCGGTGGTACACCCGCGAGAAGTCGGACCTGCAGGCAAGGTGGGTTGCACAGACAGGAGAGGTGGATGGGAAGGCGGGTTTCGAGTCTCTGATTATGCCCCACTGCCACGATGGGCAAGAAGGCGGGATGGCTCTTGGCCTGGTGCGCGTGGTGGTACACCCGCGAGAAGTCGGACCTGCAGGCAAGGTGGGTTGCACAGACAGGAGAGGTGGATGGGAAGGCGGGTTTCGAGTCTCTGATTATGCCCCACTGCCACGATGGGCAAGAAGGCGGGATGGCTCTTGGCCTGGTGCGTGTGCTGGTACACCCGGGAGAAATCAGATCTGCAGGAGCAAGGGGAATGGGAAAACGGGGGGTGAGTCTTCCTTACAACCTTCGGCCCCTATGAGAAGTAGATTTGATGGCTCTAGGTCTGGTGCGCAAGAATCAAGCAGCAAGAGGAGGCTGCTACGGGTTGATCCCTAGGTGAGCTGATTCCATTCCCTAGTGCCAACCTATTGCTCACCTGAGGAATGAGGGAGCGCAATGCTCACCAGGTGCACGGCAGCATAGTCCCCTCCTAGGAACGTGTCAATGAATCCGGTCACACAGCCCTTCACAGGCGGGGGAGGCAGCCAGAGAGGTTGGAAGAGTGGGTATGGGCGGATAACCGATGGACATCTCACCTCCTCAGGTGCACGGCAGCATAGTCCCCTCCTAGGAAGGTGTCAATGAATCCGGTCACAAAGCCCTCGACTGGAGGAGGGGGCAGCCAGAGGTCAGTGCAGGAGAGGCGGAAGGGCGGGTGTGGGGAGTACATGTCAAAGGGCAGACCGGCGAGGGATAGCCCGTTGAGATCGCCTAGAGAGAGCACTGGCGTTGTGGCGTAGGGGGGAGCAGTGGAGGACGAAGAAGGCGAGGAGGAGGGAGGGGAGGGAGAGGAGGAGGAGGAGGAGAAGGATGAGGGGGAAGGTGAGAGTGTGGCGTTGCTGCTGTGGTTCCCAGCCATGCCAGGTGGTTGGAGAACACTGGTAGTTGGGTGTGAAGTGGAAGAGCCCAGGGCGGACGCGGCTGCTGGCTCCTGCGGGCCCTGCTGCTGTGCCTCTTGCGTCGACTCAGAAGCCACCTGGCCTGTGGTGGCTTCGGTGCTGGAGAGCACGTGCAGGAGCTCGTCGAGGTGGTGGGAGTGCAAGGGGGGGTACTCCAGGTGCGAGGCGAAATTGATGTCTGGCAGGGCCTTGAACACCTGGTTGGGGTGGAGAGGTGGAGGGAAGGGAGGAGTGAGTTGGGTTGGACGACTGGCATGGGTGCTGGAGAGCACGTGCAGGAGCTCGTCGAGGTGGCGGGAGTGCAAGGGGGGGTACTCGAGGTGCGAGGCGAAGGTGATGTCTGGCAGGGCCTTGAACACCTGGTTGGAGGGCTGAGAAGAGTTACGTGTTTAGAGGGAAGACGAAAAAGAAAAGGGGAAAGTGACAAGGATGATTGGATGTGTGGGTAGCTGTGAGGCGCTTGGTAGCGCTTGGTAGCGCTTTAAAAACCTGGTTGGGGGGAGGAGGAGAGGCGGGATAAACGTCACATACTCGTGGCACCACGAGTGGTGCATGCGCATGTAGTGGGTGTCTGGCATTCACACACACATTGACACACACACACACACTCACACACACACACATTGACACACACACACACACACTCACACACACACACACATTGACACACACACACACACTCACACACACACACACATTGACACACACACACACACACACTCACACACACACACATTGACACACACACACACACTCACACACACACACACATTGACACACACACACACACTCACACACACACACATTGACACACACACACACACACTCACACACACACACACATTGACACACACACACACACTCACACACACACACATTGACACACACACACACACATTGACACACACACACACACTCACACACACACTCACACACACACACACACATTGACACACACACACGCCCACACACACACACACACACACACAACGAGCGAACTCACTCACTCATGCACGCACACACACACGCACGCACGCAGGCACGCACACATGCACGCACACACACACACACACCCACACACACACACACTCACAGACGCACCCACACCCACACACACACATACACACACACACACACACACAAGCACAAACACACACACACACACACACACATCCACACACACACAACCACAACCACACACACACACACACACACAACCACACACACAAACACACACACCCACACACACACACAGACGCACTCACCATCTGCGGGTGGCTCAGGCACGTGTGCGGCACAACGCATGCAATTCGGTCCACAGTGAGGTTGCGCCCCTCCAGTGCCTCGTACTCGTCCTGGCTGATCACACTCGGCACCTCCCCATTGGCTGCCTGCCAGCTCCACTCGCGACTACCACTGCTGCTGCTGCTGCTGCCACTGCCGCTGCTGCTACTTGCATCATTGCCACTTCCATTGCCGGACATGCCACCACCACCAGTAGCAGCAGCAGAAGCAGCAGAAGCAGCAGGAAGGGGTGAGGGGTAGTGGGGCATGAGGCAGGAGCGCATGTGGGGCACGTTGACAATGACGCCCCACTGCCAGAGATACTCCGCCACCACTGAGATGGCGAAGCCGTGCCGTGGGATGATGAGCGTGCGGTTCAATAGGGCTGCCAGAGCCAGATACATGTGCATGCACGCTTCCTGGTGGGGGGAGAAAGCGGAGAGGGAGAAGAGGGGAGGAGATGAGGAGGCGAGGAGGTGAAAGGAGGTATGTGTGTTGACATGACATGTACGTGGTACTTGAATAATGCATTGCAGGCTCACCTGGTGAGATCAACCCACCTGATTGAAGGACCTTACAAGCCTCACCTGGTTGGAGAGGCGGCCATACATGCAGAGCGCGAGAAGGTACCGCCCCTTCACAGGCCTCCACGCCTCTATCACCCTCCTCTCGCCCCTCGCAGTTCCCCCTGTGCCTGTCTCCCCACCCTCCCCACACGCCACTCCTGACGCGTCCCCTGATGCCTCTAGCACCCGTCTCCTCCTCACCCCCCCTCTCTTGCTCCACTTCTGACCTACTCGTTCTAACCTCGCTTCTACGTCTTCCCCCCACAATTCTATCCCTACCTCCCTCACCACTTCCTTATTCGCCCCTTCAGCCATCAATCTTCCCCTTGACTCTACAGCCTCCCTCGCTGGTAACCACCTTCTCCAGCTCAATTCGCCTGTCCTCGCTAGTCCTGCCAGTTTTCTTCGCAAAGGCCCAAACACTTTGCCACTCAACCACCGCTTTCTCAGGATCGCGGCAAATCCAATCGTCGGCTTCCAAAAAGTACTGTATGTCAGGTGCTGATCGCCAGGTGTTTCGCCAGAAGCTCTTTCAGGAGAATCCTCAGAAGCTGTGGTACGAAGCGCTCCAGGAGTGATAGATCTCGCCAGAATGGCCGGATTCGCCTGTAAATCAAGATCGGGCATATGGGGATCTCTTGCTGCTGTGACACGGCATGAGAGAAGGCTCGTGCACCACAGGAGGCACAGCAGAAGCACGCTGAAGTAGAACCTAGGATCTCTTTGAAGGCAAAGCCTCAGCCTTGGAATCAGCGCAACATTCTCTGGTTGGAGTCTTATGGCAGGCACCATTCTCGCGTTCGGCTGTTCAGCTGCTGCAGCAATTGCAGAGGCGAAAGTATCAAATATGACGAAACCTGAAACCCTCTCGGAATGTCCACGTGGAATTCTTGTACAGTCTCGGGCTTCCCCTCCGGAAAATACAGAACGGAGAGGCCGAGAGACAGCAGAGGAGAAGGATGGAACACTCGGAATGAGAGTTCCTTTGAAGCGGCGAGCGAATGGTGAGCCTGAACTGCACGATTGTCGGCAATATCTAGGCCACCCACAAGGGAGCACAGAAATGGTCAGCGGGTTTATGCGCCTGGTAAATAATGGTCGCTTTTGAGAATTCTCAAAAGTCCGCTGAGATGGAGTACGCTCGCGCGGCGCGGACCTCCGCTGGATATGCTAACACGCTTGCAAGGGCCCGCATCGCGTTGAGTAGTAGCAGCGCTCGTATGATGCGTTGCCTTCTATTGCAGCGAGAATGTTCCCTTAACATTTCGTCCCGCTTCGCTGCACATGCATCGTGGCTCGTGAAGTGAAACGGGACGAAGGCTGAAACCAATAGGCCGGTGGCCGAAGGCTGACAGGAACATTAACATCTTACGCTGCCTGCAAGGCCGTGCGGAAGGGTGGGTCAGGGTATCTCGAAAGGCGTCATTTCCGCTGGAACGCCGTGGGAAAGGTCAGGACGGAGTGTCATTATTCCTAATCCCTATGAAAAGGCCGTGAGAAGGAGCCAGGAAGGTGCGTCACTGCTCAGAATCCCTGGAAAAAGGCGGTGGAAATGGGTCAGGATGTAAAGGATGTCACCAGAAGCAGGCACGCGTGAAGCACGGTCGGTCGCTAATGACGAGTAGAACGGATCGCCGTCAGGCGAATCTCGACCGTCCGTCATTCTCCCGAATCGCTGCCAGACGAAGCGTGAGAAAGTCGCTACTTGTCAGGACTCGACCTGTAAGTTGGATAGTCAGAACATGAGAGTGAATCTGACAGAATCCGCTAGGATTGAATCGGTAGTTTGCGGCTGAATGATCAGAATGATCGTCTGAATGGTCTGATGATAATCTGCTCGCGCCTCTTATGAAGGCTCCGTTTCCATACAAGGCTGAATGGGAAGTGGAGATTCGGAAGTGTTTCTTTTAGACGGGTATATCAAGCATTTCCAGTCCGAAACACTATCTCCTGAATAAATGAGTTCTACGTATGAACCAATACCGGTATTTTGAAATTGGACGTTCAAACGCCAAACAAGTCATCCTACCCCACTCATAGCCTATGCCAACTGTCAAGTATACATACAAAACCATGAAATTATGCTTTGAGGTGCTCACAAGTTACTTCCGAACGCCATGTAGAAAAATCGTTATATTAAAAGCCATTCCAGGTTGTTGTTTTGAAGGGGCGATTCAAGAGACCTTTTTCAAGGCCGTTATGGAAGGCAGCACATCGTAAAAATCCATTCTAGAGGTCGGTGAGTGAGGTGAGCACAGGGAAGCCGGGGTCGGCAGGCAGGGCACCATTGCCTGGGCGAGAGAGCAGCACCGCCTGCAGACCTGTGGGTGTTGCAACACAGAGCGTGGAGAGCAGGTCAGGTAGGGAGAATGAGAGAGGTTATTAAGCAAGAGGGCTGTATGCTAATGGATAAGGATAGGACTGGCTGGCTCTTTGCCTACGGCACACATCTGCTTGGTTGGCCTGCTCACCTGCTTGCTTGGCTTGGCAGCCTGTGCCTCCTCCAAGATGTCGGGCAGAAAGGCGATGTCGGAAGGGGAGACCACTGGAGCACTGCTAAAGAGAGGCACAGCCCTATTGTCTGCCTCGTATTGACCTGTCTGCCTGTTTGCCCATCCCTACTCACCTGCTTGCTTGGCAGCCTGTGCCTACTCCAGGAAGTCGGTACAGAAGGTGATGCGGGGGCGTGCACGGGTGAAGTCCACTGGTTATGAGAGTCACAGCACAGCTACCTGCCTAATGTTGCTGACCAGGGGGGCGCAGGATTACGACTCACCTGCTTGCTTGGCGGCCTGAGCCTCCTCTAGAATGTCGGTGCAGAAGGTGATCTCCGATGGGGAGTGAGCACCCAGAGAAAGCTCAATCTCCAAGTAGCTGCACACCCTCCCCTGCCCACCTGCTTGCTTGGCGGCCTGAGCCTCTTCAAGAATGTCGGTGCAGAAGGTGATCTCCGATGGGGAGTGAGCACCCAGAGTGAGAGCGATCTCCGAGTAGCTACGCGCCTCCCTCTTGTGGCTGTTCCGAGAGAGGGTGAGAGGAAGGGTGGGAGGGAGGGTGGGTGAGGAAGGGGAAGGAGTGAAAGGGGAAGAAGGCGGTGAGAAAGGAGGAGGTGGGATCCATTAAACGGGTGGAAACGAGGCATGAACAATGAAGAAAACATAGACATTCAAATCAAAAAAAAAAACAAACATTTATAGCATCAGAATATGCGGGGTCAGTAGGATATGTGAACCGACCCTGTCGTGGTATCGAAGAAGCCACTAATGAAGCGCCTCAGATCGCCCACATTGGAATAGCCGAAGATGAGGTGCTGCGCCTCCCTGCTGCCACTCGAATAGATATAGATCTGATATGGAGTGGGGAAGAGGGGGGGGGGGGGTGAAGAAAAGCATGGGAAAACCACAAGCCCTGATACACAAACCAGAGAATGAGGCACCATGCCACTGACTCAGCTCAGTGAGCACGTCACTGAAGCCCCCTTGAGTTCGCCCTTCTTATACCCACCCCTCCACATATGCCCCTACAGCTGCTTCAGCGCCCTAATGCTGCCTAAGGCCTCACCCATACCTCACAAACCACTACCTTTGGGACAAGAGAAGACAGGAGAGGGGAACAGAGAGGGGGGAGGGGAGTCTTGGAACCAACCTTGCAGCCAGCAGCGTGCCACTGGGTGAGCGCCGTGAGCACGTCACTGAAGAATTCCCCCTTCAGCTCGCCCTTCTTATACCCGCCCCTCCAGATGTGCCCCTGCAGCTGCTTCAGCGCCTCCCTAGTCCTGCCTATGGCCTCACCCTCACCTCGCAACACACTACTTTGCGGACAGGAGGAGACAGGAGAGGGAAGGAGAGAGAGGGGAGAGGAGAGATGGGAGAGGGGAGTCTCGGAACCCACCTTGCAGCCAGCAGCGTGCCACTGGGTGAGCGCCGTCAGCACGTCACTGAAAAACTCCCCCTTGAGTTCCCCCTTCTCGTACCCGCCCCGCCAGATGTGCCCCTGCAGCTGCTTCAGCGCCGTCACCTTCCTGTCCGCTGCTATCATCGCCGCCACGTTCCGTTCCACTGCCCCCACCACCGCCTCCTTCCCGGCCTCCAGGGGTGGGACAGATTCGGCACCGGGGACAGAGGATTTTATGTCTTCTTCAATCTGTGCCCGCAGCAGCAGCATGTCTGCTTGTGTTTCAGGTGTGTCGAAGGTGTCAAGCAGATGCTGCCCCACGTGGCTTTTAGCGTACGGGAAGAGCACCTGGTGACGGGGGGGGGGGGGGGGGGGAGGGCGGGAGAGGAGAAGGGAGGATGGAAGAAGTGTTTCCCTTCCTGTCAACCGCTATCATCGCCGCCACGTTCCGCTCCACCGCCCCCACCACCGCCTCCTTCCCGGCCTCCAGGGGTGGGACGGGCTCGGCACCGGGGACAGAGGATTTGACGTCTTCGTCGATCTGGGCGCGCAGCAGCAGCATGTCTGCTTGAGTTTCAGGTGTGTCGAAGGTGTCAAGCAGATGCTGCCCCACGTGTGCCTTGGCATACGGGAAGAGGACCTGGGGTGGGAAAGATAGAGCAGTAGAGGTTGCTATTAGTGCTTTGCCCCTGCCCCTGCGATCCTCTCAAGCGCCCCCACCACCGCCTCCTTCCCAGCTTCCAAGGGGGGGACAGGTTCGGACCGGGGACAGAGGATTTTATGTCGTAATCAATTTGGGCGCGCAGCAGCAGCATGTCGGCCTGGGTCTCGGGGGTGTCGAAGGTGTCGAGCAGGTGCTGCCCCACGTGATCCTTAGCGTAGGGGAAGAGCACCTGGGACGGTGGGGGGGGGAAAGGGAGGGGGTGAGTGAGAGAGAGGTGGGGGTCGATCTGGGCGCGCAGAAGCAGCATGTGGGCTTGTGCCTCGGGGGAAACGAACATGTCTCTCAGGTGCTGCCCCACGTGGCCTTGGTGTAGGGGAAGAGCACCTGGTGGTGGGGGAAGAGCACCTGGTGGTGGGGGGAAGGATGACCGACGTGGAAAGAAACGGATTTCACGAGAAGCTTAGGGTTTCGGCTTTAGGATACGTATTGGAGATACTTCGTCCAGGGTTCGTCCACGCCAGATTAATTTTTAGGCGCCTCAGAAATAGGCTTTAGGCTACGTGTTAGATATACCAGGTCTAGGGTCCGTCCACGGCATACCTGGGAGACAAAGGAGATGGGGGTGGTGGTGCCCTCGATGTCCAGCACTATGAACTTCTGCAGCGTTGGGAAGGAGGGGGCGGGTGTGGGGAGAGGGGGAGAGGGGAAGAGGGGGAGAGGGGGAGAGAAGGGGGAGAGAGGTTCGGAGTTGGAGAAAGTTGGGGGTGGTGATGCCCTCGATGTCCAGAACTATGAACTTCTGCAGCGTTGGCGGGAAGGGGGAGGAGGGGGCAGGAAAGGGGGTGCGGGAGAGAGGAAGGGAATGGATGGGGGTTGTAGAGGAGATGGGGGTGGTGGTTCCCTCTACGTCCGACGCTATGAACCTCTGCAGAATGGGGGAAGCGGGGAGGTGGGGGAAGCGGGGAGGTGGGGGAAGCGGGGAGGTGGGGGATGCGGGGAGCGGAGAGCGGAGGGGAATGTATGGGAATTGGGAAGGAGATGAGGTGGTGGTGGTACTGCTCTCTACGACCAACACTTTGAACGAGTGGGAGAGGAGGGGAGGGGGGAAGGAGAGAGTGAAGAGGAGAGAAGGGCGTGGATGGGGTTGGTTATAAAGTGACTTTTGAGTCGACTCAAAATACACGTGGATGGTTGTTGGTTATAAAGCAGATGGGGGTGGTGTGGTGGTGCCCTCAATGTCCCACACTATGCACTTCTGCAGAGAGGAAGAGGGGATTGTCAATGCTGGACAGTGGGTTGCCAAGGCCTTAGTTCCATCAACTTTAGTAGGCATGCATGCACGTCTAAGACACTAAGAACTTGTGCACAGAGGAGAGGGGGACCGTGGCGGAGAGCAGACTGCACGAATGTGTGTTGGGTTGGGTTTGAGAGGAAACGGGGGGGGGTGGTGGGAAATAAACTTTTGGTATATGAAGGAGCATGCTAATAGCCGCACCAAACAGGTAGTGGTAGCACTCCCATCAACCCACTGCCCGTGCCTTACCGGAAATGCTTTCCGCCAGCAGTACCACCAGGGACAGCATGCACAGTAGCAGCAGCAGCAGCAGCAGCGCCAGCGGTTGGCGGGTGCAGAGGGTCGCACGGGTTGATTGATCCCCATCTGATGCATCCTGATAGCCGCGTCAAACAGGTAGTGGTAGCACTCCCATCCCATCAACCCATCAACCCATCAACCCATCAACCCACTGCTTGTGTCTCACCGGAAAGGTCTTGCCACCAGAAGTAGCAGCAGGAGCGGCAGCAGCAGCCGCAGCGGGAAGGTGAAGCGGGTCACAGGGGTTGATCCCCATCTGATGCATCCTGATAGCCGCGTCAAAGAGGTAATGGTAGCACTCCGCCTGTGTCTTGGCCTGGATCCAGTTGTCCCCCCAGATGTACACGCCGTGATTCCTGACAAGAACTGCTGTGGCCTTGGGGTAGGCTTCGATCTGCAGGGGGGAAAGAGCGAGCAGAGGCAGGAGGGGAGGAAGAGGGGTGTGGGGTGTGTAAGTGGGGGTCAATGGCCGTACAGCAGCAGCGAGGGCGTACTTTTGAGGCGCCTCAGAAGTCAAGGGTTCAGGGTTTGAGGCGCCTAAAAGAGGACTTTTGAGACGTCTCAAAAGGGTTCAGGGTTTGAGGCGCCTAAAAGAGGAAGAGGGAGTGGATGGCATGGCGTGCAAGTGGGGGTCAACGATATGCTCAGCAGCAGCGAGGGAGTCCATAAGCTGCGAGCTTTTCCCTCACGGTGATCCCTCGCCGTGTTCCCTCGCCGTGTTCCCTCGCCGTGTTCCCTCGCCGTGTTCTCATCTCTCAATGACTTGACTGGCACCACCAGTTTCTTGCAAGGCAAGGGAGTAACCTCACCAGTGATTCCACCAGGCAGTGAAGTGAACTCACAGCAGCAGCGAGCGAGTCGGTGAGCTCGTATTACCGCGCCGTGTTTTCAATGATTGGCACCACCAGCTCCGTGCAAGGCAAGGGAGTAACCTCAACAGCAACGAAACGGACTCACAACAGCAGCAAGATGGGCTTACAGCAGCAGCGAGGGAGTCGGTGAGCTCGTACTCCCTGGCGGTGTTCTCAATGATTGGCACCACCAGCTCGTCATAGTACCCATGGCCCACGATGCCCTTTATCATCTCCATGTGAGATATCTGGGGGGAGGGGGCGTGGGAAGGGGAAAGAGAGCGCGACGAGTGGGGAAAGAGTGCAAGAAATGGGGTGCTTAGATCTGCAACCACCAGTTCGTCATAGTAGCCATGGCCCACGATGCCCTTTATCATCTCCATGTGAGATATCTGAACAAAGGGGGGGAGAGAGAGAGGGAGGCAGAGAGGGAGACGGGAGCGCAAGGGAAACGATTCTCAGCTCAGTGCAAAACCAGCTCGTCATAGTACCCATGGCCCACTATGCCCTTCAACATCTCCATGTAGGATACCTGGGGGGAGGGGGTGTGAGGGAGGCAGAGGGATGGCGAGAGACGGTAATGCAAGAGTTAGGGTTCTAAGCTCAGTGACAAGCACTTGTCGTAACAACCATGGCCCATTATGCCCTTAATGGTTCTACTCAGCTCAGGCATTCCAGTCAACGCAGTCAACCCAGTCCATGCCATATGATCACCTCAGCCACCTGAGTCAACAGGGTCAAGAGAGTCAACTCACGCGGAACTCCTTAGCACCAGGGACGAGCATGGTGGCCATAGCAGTCTCCATACCGCGGCTGTGAATCAGAACAGTTACAATGCCATACCATGTGGTGCTGCAAGTCAACCCAGTCAACGCATTCAACCCAGACCAGTCAAGTGAGTGCACTCACGCGGAACTCCTTAGCGCCAGGGACGAGCATGGTGGCCATGGCAGTCTCCATGCCGTGGCTGTGGATCACTGCCCCCGCTCCGCGCATCTCAAAGCACTGTTGCATATGGGGCAGTGGAGGCATGTGGGTGTGGGAAAGAGATTTTATCACTGGAACGACTGAACAACATGTGAATCACGCCCCCCCCCCCCCCAAGTACCTCAAGCATTGCGGCATGGGGGAGTGTTGGCGCAGGTGGGAGGAGATAAGGCGAAATGGAAGGGGAGGGTGGGAAGAGGGAGCGAGGGGAGGAGGGGTGAGGAAAAGGGAGTGGGGGTGCGGAAGTGTGGGTATGGGTGGGTCGGGGTGGGTTGTGGAGGGTGCAAAAACCGGGTTATCAAAATGGAATAATGGTACACATGAGACGTTGGTCTGTCCGAGACAAAGGCGCGCTTGGTCTGTCCGAGACAAAGGCGCGCTTGGTCTGTCCGAGACAAAGGCGCGCTTCAGAACCCAGGAGGAGTTGATAGGAGCAATCGCCTTGAGGAAGAGCGCCCCGCATTCACTGCACTTGAGTGCCTTGTGCGAGGGGGGCTTGACCTTGGGCTGGGCTCAACACAAAGAGTGCATGCTGCATGCTGTTCTGTTACAAAGGAGTATTACTCGCCTTGAGGAAGAGCGGGCCGCACTCGCTGCACTTGGGCGCCTTGTGCGGGGGCGGCTTGACCTTGGGCTCCACCAGCACTGTGCCGTCCGGGGCCATCACATACATGTCCTCTGGTATCATTCTCTCCTTCTGCACGCCTGTCAGAGAGGGAGGGGCATGGGGCACGGGGCACAAGGCATGAGGTATGGACAGCAATGGGGAACAGAAGGAGAAGTGGGGCTTGACCTTGGGCTCCACGAGCACTGTGTCATCAGGCGCCATCACGTACATATCCTCTGGTAGCATTCGCTCCTTTTGCACGCCTGTTTGAGGTTGCACAGATGGGTAGACAGGGGTGTGGTGTGGGGCATGGGGCATGGACAGCAATGTGAGACAGAAGGAGACAGGGGCGGCTTGACCTTGGGTTCCACCAGCACTGTGCCATCACATACATGTCCTCTGGGAGCATTCTCTCCTTCTGCACGCCTGTGTGTGTGTGGGTGCATGGATAGGCAATAGGGGAAGAAGGCAGGAGCATAGGTCCCACCAGCACTGTGCCATCCGGGGCTATCACATACATGTCCTCTGGGAGCATTCGCTCCTTCTGCACGCCTGTGGATGGAGAGGGGGGATGGCATGCGGAACAGGTCATGGGGCATGGGGGCACGTTGCACAAGGCATGGGGCAAGGTGAGCAGCGAGAGTTAGACGGAAAAGAGGGGGGCCCTTGACCTTGGCTGCCACCAGCACCTTGCCATCAGCCGCTGTCAGCCGCTATCACATACATGTCCTCTGGAATCGTGCGCTCCTTCTGCACGCCTGAGAGGGTGGGAGGAACGCACGAATGCATGGATTTGGTAGTACGGCGGGCGCGAGCGAGGCGCAGAAGGGGGCTGGACCTTGACTGCCACCAGCACTGTGCCATCAGCCGCTGTCAGCCGCTGTCAGCGGCTGTCACATACATACATGTCCTCTGGAATCGTGCGCTCCTTCTGCACGCTTGTGGGTGTGTGGGGGCGAGGGGTGCATGAATGGCATGGATGGTAAGGTGGGGAAAAGGGAAAAGACGAGCTCGACTGTTGGTTCCACCAGCACCGTGCCATCAGCCGCTATCAGCCTCTCACTATCACATACATGTCCTCTGGTAGCGTGTGCTCCTTCTGCACGCCTGTGCGTGTGTGGGTGCGCGGATGGGTGGATGGGGGGACAGGGGCATGGAGCGTGAAGCATGGAGCATAGATGCAATGACGTATGTGTATGGATGAGTGCATCGGTGCATGGATGGGTGCATGGATGGGTGCATGGATGGGTGCATGGGTGCATGCATGGATGGGTGCAAGGAGGGTGCAACGCTACTAACCAGACGGTGCCATGACGATAGTGCGCTCTTGGTTGGTCTTCCCCGGCTCATTTGCCTTGATGCTGATGCTGCCTCCTGCATGCACCGAACAGAACCACACACACAAGCGTGCGCAGGAGGGAGCACTAGCATCAGAATGCTGAATCACACACAAGCCAGATGTTGCATACACTCAAATGAGCCAGAACCACACACAAACGTTCGCCTGACGTAATCAGACGTGCACGGGCATGCATGCATGCATGCGCATATAACAGAAAATGCGTGCACACATTGACATGCAATGCCATGCAAGAAGTCCCGTCCAGGCACAGGCAGCACGACTGTCAGTGAGATCCCAGGGGTTCCAAGGGTCCCAGGGGTCCCACCCAGGGGTCCTGGGGGGCAGCTTGGAAAATCCTTTGGGCAGCTGCCAGCTGGCATGGTTCAGAATGTCTTTGATTAGAAGTAGAAAAGAGCTGTGCTTGCGAGAAAACGCATGCCATGAAAGCTGCTGCATCGCATCCAGGCCGGGAGAGCAGCACACACAAGATACGGCAATATCGTGTTTGCAGCGAAACAAGATACGGGATATCCATGCGGTATGAATCTGAGTAGGCTAGTTTTGAGGCGCCTCAAAACTAGAATATCCATGCAGTATGAGCCTGAGTATGTGAGTATGTGAGTATGTGAGTATGGTATGTTGATGCTTGGAAGGCGTGACCAAATCATTAATCCATCCATGCTTCTCGTACTAATCAAAAGGACCTGTGATTCAATCAGTGCTGGATAAGGACGGTCAACGCTGGTCGATGCCGACCCATGCCAGTCAACGCTGATCAATGCCGATGATTGCTACTAGCATTTAACAATGCTGGTGAATGCTAGTCAATGCTGATCAGTGTTGACTGACCCATGCTGGTCAGCGGTAGGGGTCAGATCTTTCGAAGGGCACTGTCGAAGCTACAAAACGGCAGCGCGGGGCGGTACGAATCAGAGTCTCGAGCAGCAGCTACAGAATCGCGTCTGCTCGAGACTCTGATCGGCATTTCGGGAGCAGTCGCCTCACGTTTCGAACAGTCAGCATTGGAGGTCGTGACGCGTAAGATGTGACGACATAGGAGCTTCTAGAATGGGGATAGGGCTGCCAGGATGGGGGGATCTCAGAGGAGATCACATAGAGTATGCGAATGAAGAAGAGTACGGGGGTATGATTCAAAGTGCGCCCGATCGACAGGAGTGTATTTCACGCGCACCTGTTCCCGAGACCCATCCGAGGGTGTAGAAGTGGCGGCACAGCTCCGCGACAAGATCGCGGGCCTCCCGCACCGCGTCGCTCTCCTGATACCCGGCCGCCATTGTCGCAAAGCGTCGCACGGCAGCTCTGCCGCAAACTGTTCGAGACGGTGAGGAGAGCGCGAAATGCGGCGGGCGGGGAAAGGAAAGAGGCGAGCGGGAGACGGGGGAGAGTCGTTGAAGAGTGCAACGACGGATGGCTATGCAGGAAGATGGGATGAGAGCAAGTGCTGCCATAAGGGTGAGAGGGAGTTGCATGGCAAAGCAGCAAAACAAAAAACGTACTTCTAAATTATATTCCTATTGCGAACAGGTGCCGTGGTGTAGTTGGTTATCACGTCAGTCTAACACACTGAAGGTCTCCGGTTCAAGTCCGGGCGGCGCCACTCTTTTTGCCGTTTGGTAAGTGTCAGCCCCCTCCTGCTTTTCCTCTCATCTTTCCCCTGATCCTCATATTCGTCCATTTCTTTGGTTGATCATCTTTTTCCTCATCTACCATATGTTTTCTACAGTTATTTTCCCCTGTAAATTGGCACATTGAGAGGAACGAACTGGACCGAAGAGGAAACTGGGGGAGGTTGGCAGTGAGTGGATTTTCAGGGGGCTAGAAGCGAATGAGGGATGTACTGTACGATTTTGCCAGCAGAGGTTGTAGCAGTCAGACAACAAAATGCAAAAGTTTGTTGTTACAGATGGAATTTCTAGACGGAAGGGGTACCATATGGAAAAGAAGATGCGGCCAAACAAAGAGTTAGGTGAAAGCAACAATTCATGGAAGTGTGAAACCCAGTCACTGCAGTTTCCCAAGCCAGCACTTTACGAGTGAGGGCTAGCCCCGAAACGAGCCCAAAAACTATTCAGTGAAAGACCATGAATTAGACCTGGTTAACTTCAATGCATTCGACATCAAGGTATCTTTCCGGTGAGGAGTAGGCTCACATAGATGTCGTATCATCCTATTTTTGTCTCTTTCCTAGCAATCCCTCGTGTCTGATGTTGAAGTTAATCATAATATGAATGTGTAAACGCTGATTAGAGCTCCAGAGTTCATGAAGGATGCAGCAAATAGGTATAAAGCTATGAATCGCTACTTATGATTTCATCCCAATAACAATTATGTTTTGGCATTACATAATCTCTCATTGATAGTACGCTAGTAAAGGATATCCCTTTTCTCTGAAGTGCGTATGCTTCCGCCTTGGGTTTCTTCCAAATCTTGATCTCCGCTGATCTCATCAGGCAGTTCACCACGGCCAGCTTCGATCATCCGAAGGGTCCTCCATAATTCAGCGTCCTCCAGTATCCTTTCCTGATAACGTGAATTTCCTTACTGGTCGCATGGTCGGTCCGTCACGTTGAGGTCTGCAGATTGTGCGCCGTCCCGCGTCCATCGCGGCTTGAGTTAGGCGTAAGGATGAAGCCGATCGTAAAGGTCGGCATTTTGGTGCTGTGCGTGGTGACGTTGCTGGCGACGGAATGTCAGGCACAGTTGTCGAATCCGGTTACTAGAGACTCACATGTGATCAATGAGGGGAATAAGTTCCTGTCGCGTCACGCGACAGCCGACAGCGATGCGATTCCAGCCGTGTAAGGATATTACTTCCTTCGCTGTTCTCATATCCTTCCGGCTATCCCCGCCTGCTTACAGATTCAGAATCCTCACTCAGCGTATTATATATTATTCGTAAAAATAAGCATCATTTTTTACTAATTTCTGCTCTTTTTTGCTTCGACGAATTCGCTCTCATTCCCACCATCCCTGTGGCCATGTGCATAAATCGGCGTGATCTGTCGGACGAACGACTGAGCGTACGAGCAGCGACGAGGAGGCGATGGGGAACAGCCGGTGTCCCGTGAATCTGGAGTTGCAATGGCAGGCGGAGGTCAGCAGCAGCATCTACTCCACTCCCCTCGTCGCCGATATTAACCGGTCAGTACGATATTCCACACTCACCTTGCTCGCGACAAAGGCGGATTTGAGTCGAATCAATAGAAGCTGTAGCGACAGGGGAGGTCAGCAGCAGCATCTACTCCACTCCCCTCGTCGCCAATATTAACCGGTCAGTACATGATTAATGCAGGTTACTTTTTGTCAAATTCGTTGATTACAAAGTTTCAGAGCTTCTTGGAAAACTTTTAACGCTGCGATCATGGCAATTGTGCGAGGCCGTTGTTCTGGTTGAGCTCATCTGATGTCTATGGTCTCGCGAATCTGTCTACTTTTGTTCGCAACGATTGCTTTGAAAGGCTGGGTTCGTACCGCCTTCTCAAATCCATCGCGCTGGCACTCCATTTCCCTCACACCGAGGGATCCGAGAGGCGAAACGACGTGTTGTCAAACCCACTCACTGCGATCTGCCTGCCCTCACATTCCTCGTCTCCCTTGCCTTCTGGCTGTCGCGGGGGCATCCACATTCCTAGAGGCGAAGCGACGTGTTGTCAAACGCACTCTCTGCAATTTGCCTCCGCTCACGTTCCTCCTCTCCCTTGTCTTGATCGCTGTCGCAGGGACGGCAAGATGGAGGTGGTGGTGCCGTCCTTCGTGCACTACCTGGAGGTGCTCGATGGTTATGATGGTGACCGGCTGCATGGTACGTGCGTGATGGTGGTGGTGGTGGTGGTGGTGGTGCTGGTGCTGGTGCTGGTCACGAGTGGTAGTTGTGGGGGTGGTGGTGCCATCTATCTTGCACTGCCTCGAGGTGCTGGACGGCTATGAGGGGGACCGTCTGCATGGTACGTGGTGTTGGTTCTCGTACTCTCGTTCGACTGGGGTTCGCCACGTGTAGATGTGGCTGTTGCGCCTCCAAGATGGAGTGGTGGTGGCGGCGGCGGCAGCGGCAGCGGTGATGTGCAGTACATGTACCACTGCCGTATGGTATCGACACGGACGGGTGGAGAGTTACGTTGAGGCGTCTCAAATCCTTACCCATCTGCCCACTTGCGCCTCTGTTTCAGGCTGGCCGGCCTTCTACCGCTCCAGCACGCACACGAGCCCTCTGCTGTACGACATAGACAAGGACGGAGTGAGGAATACAATGAAGAGTCTCAAACCTTCCCTCTTGTGACCTCTCTCGACTCTGTTTCAGGCTGGCACCTTCTACCGCTCCAGCACGCACACGAGCCCTTTCTTGTACGACATTGACAAGGACGGCATGAGGGTTGCGTTGAGGGCTACATTGAGATGCCTCAAACCTCCCCTCTTATGCCATCTGTCTTGTCTCAGGCTGGCCGGCCTTCTACCGCTCCAGCACGCACACGAGCCCTCTGCTGTACGACATAGACAAGGACGGCGTGAGGGAGATCATCCTTGCGGACTACAACGGCGAGATCCTCTCCTTCACGTGAGTTGCCAAATCACTTCTTCTCAGTCATTGCGGATGGGAGAGGCACAGAAGCTTATTTACCCTGCTGTACGACATTGACAAGGACGGGGTGAGGGAGATCATCCTCGCGGATTACAACGGCGAAATCCTCTCCTTCACGTGAGTCAGTCGCTGCTTGCTTCTTCTCATAGATGCGTGGGAGGCAGGCAGTGTGGATGGGTCAGGCACAGATGCTCGCTCGCACACCCTGTTGCACGGCATCAACAAGGATGGTGGGAGGGAGGCCATTGTTGTGGTTTACAACACTTAGATCATCTCCCTTCACGTCTGAGCCGACCCAATCCACTTCTAATCTCCCTGTTCCCGGTCATACCTATTCACTACACCCATTGACTTGTATCATCTTCTTCTTGCAGGCCTGGTGGCGAGGAGCTGACTCGTTATAAGATGAGTGTGCCGCGGCTGCGCATCCGCAAGGAGTGGTATGTGGGGCTGGACCCAGACCATGTGGACCATGCACACCCCGACATCCACGCCCCCATTGACGACGGTGAGATGCTTTAGGTTAGGATGGTCTTCCAAGTGGTGAGATATCCTCGTTATAAGACACTGCGCATCCGCAAAGAGTGGTATGTGGGGCCGGACCCAGACCACGTGGATCATGCACACCCCGACATCCATGCTCCCATTGACGATGGTGAGCCGTGCTTACTACTTGGTGAGACATCCTTGTTGTAAGATACTGCACATGTGAGGCTAGACCCAGACCACGTGAACCATGCACACCCCGAAATCCACGGTCCCATAAACGATAGTTTGGCATATCCTCGTTAAAAGCAGCTGCATTCTCAGTACTGGTATGCTCGGCTTGATCCAGAGTTCCACTCCCTTCACCATGCCTCACACGGCAGCCAAGAACGTGTCCAGCCAGCATCAGGAGAGCGATCTGCTGAACCTGCCCAAGCCACACGCTGCTGATGACCTTCCCAGATACGCTGCTGGTGGTGGTCCTTCCGTCGTCACAGATGTTTCTTTTCCCTCCGCACCGACCCTAGTTGACTTTTGAGTCGACTCAAAAGTCAACTCAGATGTTTCTTTTCCCTCCGCACCGACCCTAGTTGACATTTGAGTCGACTCAAAAGTCAACTCAGATGTTTCTTTTCCCTCCGCACCGACCCTAGTTGACTTTTGAGTCGACTCAAAAGTCAACGCAGATGTTTCTTTTCCCTCCACACCAACCCTAGTTGACTTTTGAGTCGACTCAAAAGTCAACTCAGATGTTTCTTTTCCCTCCGCACCGACCCTCTCTCCCTCCCCCTCCCTCACCTTCTGCATCTTCGCTCTTCCCTCTGTATGCTTCACGCAGCAGCAGCCAAGCCAAGAACGTGTCCAGCCAGCATCAGGAGAGAGATCTGCTGAAACGGCCCAAGCCACACGCTGCTGACGCCCATGCTGATCGCGGCGCTGGTGGTGGTTCTCCCATTCTCACTGATATTTTCTGTCCCTCCGCACCCACCATCCCTCCATCTAGGGATGAGCAGAGGGCGAACTCAAACATGTTCGAGTTCGCCCCCTATCGAACATCGACTTCTACCGAACCGAACAGTGTTCGGTTCGGCGAACTATTTGGGCGAAAACAGGTGTTCGCCGTTCGCCCTAGGGGGCGAACGAATTGTTGCAGCAGGCGAACTCGAACATGTTCGAGTTCGCCAAAGGGAAAATTCGATATAGTCACAGTGGTCATATTGTGAAACGCCGTCTCTACAACTTGACACCTTGACCGCTTGGTGCTTGATCCCTATGCTTCTGAACACTAATGTTCACACAAACACCCTACACTACGAACTACCCTAACCCTAATGTCCGTGTAGATGAACGATGTAAGGTGTGCGATGGCTATTAAAACCGCAAGGCTAGGGCGGTTGTGTGAGAGAGGGCTAAGCGCTAAAGGCGTTTTGAGTTTGAGCTCACGAAATGAGCTCAAACTCAAAACGGCCGCGACCTAAAATTGGTCGCGGCCAATTTTGACGCGAACACTTTTGTGTTCGCGGGGCACCCAATTCGAACACGAATGCGTTCGTGTTCGAATTCCCTTAGCCAAAAATCAATGGCGAACGGCGAACATGTTCGGCCGAACACCGAACATGTTCGCCTCGAACGATTTAGGCAAAAAAAAATGCCTGTTCGGTTCGCCTCGAACATGTTCGAGGCGAACCGAACAGGCGTTCGGGATTTTTCTCATCCCTACCTCCATCTCTCCCCATCCTCTCCTCCCTCTCACCTCTCTGTGCTTCCACTGGCAGCCAAGAACGCGTCCAGCCAGCACCAGGGGGGCGACCTTCTGAACCTGCCCACGGCACACACTGCTGGTATTCTCTTTTCCAACCCCCTTGCGCCCCCCCCCCCAATCCCCCCCTTGTGTTTCACACAGCAGCAGCCAAGAACGCGTCCAGCCAGCACCAGGGGGGAGACCTTCTGAACCTGCCCACGGCCCACGCCGCTGACGCCCATGCTGAGCGCGGCGCTGGTGGCTCTGACACCCACGCACCAGGCACACCGGGGCAGGCACAGGGTCAGCAGCAGGCACAGGGACAACAAGCACAAGGGCAGCAGGCGCAGGGGCAGTATAAGACTCAGCCACTGCAGCAGCAGCCGCAGGAGGTGCATCACGAGCACCACCCAGAGCAGCATCCGGACAAGCATACCGAGCAGCAGCATGCAGCAGGAGGGGGCGGTTTGCCTCACGGGAGTGACCTGCAGCAGCCAGGCATCCCCCACACAGCAGCAGACACCGCGTTTGGCACAGCCACTGCTGCTAGAACGCTCGCAGAGCAGCAGCACCCTCAGGCGCAAGCACAGGTGAAGGTAGAGAATCCTCAGGTGGACCCGGGCCTGCCCCCTGTTGTAACTGCCGCGGGCGCTGCTGCTGGAGGTGCTAGTAGCGGGGGGATTGACATGCCCCCGCTTGTAGAGCCGCTGGCACATGCCGCAGGCGCTGCTGCTGCTGGTGGGGGTGCTGGTGCTGTTGGGGGTGCTGCTGGGGGTGCTGGTGCTGCTGGGGGTGCTGGTGCTGCTGGGGGTGCTGGTGCTGCTGCAGGAGCGGGAGGGCGCGGGGCGGCGCTGGCAGATCTGGATTGTGGGAAGGACGGGTTGTGCAGCAAAGAGGCGCAAGCTGCAGCCGAGGCCAAGGCAGCCGCTGCCGCTGCTGCTGTCGCTGCTGCTATGAGTGGGGGAATCGCAGCAGCAGCAGGGGGACAGCAGGGGCAGCAGGGGCAGCAGCAGCCGGGGCAGGGGCAGCAGCAGGTGGAAGGTTCTGGGAAGGTCCAAGCAACGGAGGCGGATTTACAGAAGATTCAGTCATGGGAGAAGTGGCACCAAGATGTGACAGCCAAGGTGTCACCAGGATCCCAAATGGGGGAGAAGGAGCAGGCGCTGTGGAAGCACTACCAGGACTGGAAGAGCAAACTGCTGCTCCCAAGGGACAACTCGCCCCCTGCTGCTGGTGGAGGGGTGCATGGGGCGCGTCGGCGGCTGCTGCAGGTGCATGAGGAGAAGGCGGGGGCAGGGAGGGGTGGAGACGTGGGGGCAGCACGCAGGAGGCTGCTGCAGGTGCACGGGGACCACCATGCTGGCGACCACGAGGATGTGAGTCTAGGAAGGGGGGCTGCTGGGGTAGGTGGGATGCAGGGTGGTCGTGTGTGGGTGCATGTTGGTTCTGGGCGCATGCAGCTGCCCGCAGGAGGCTGCTGCAGGTGCACGGGGACCACCATGCTGGCGACCACGAGGATGTGAGTCAGAGAGGGGGCTGCTTGGGGGGGTGTGAAGATATGGAGGGGGCGGACTCATGCGACGTGTTCAAGGTCGAGGTGACTACCGGCAACACTGGCCGATATTCCTTTCATCATCCCCTCCTTCTCCCGTGTGTGCCCTTCCCCTTCCACTCGCAGTTCCCCACAGCAGAGCCGGACAGTGAGTTGGACGAGGAGGGGGCCGAGTCATGGGACGTGTTCAAGGATGATGATGATGACTACCGGCAGTGGGAGGGGGATGGGGAGTAGGGAAGGACTGGACTGTTTCACATCGTCATCCCCCACTTCTCTCCGTCCCTGTGTGTCTGTGTGTGCCCGCCCCTCCCATCCCTCTGGCTGTTTCTCCCCCAGTTCCCCACAGCAGAGCCCGACAGCGAGTTGGACGAAGAAGGAGCAGACTCGTGGGACGTGTTCAAGGATGACGATGATTACTGGCAGCACTGGCCTATACTCCTTACATCGTTGCTACCGCCCCATCAACCCCCCTTCCCCCATACTCCCGTGTATACCCCTTCCTGTTCACTCGCAGTTCCCCACAGCAGAGCCCGACAGTGAGTTGGACGAAGAAGGAGCAGACTCGTGGGACGTGTTCAAGGATGACGATGATTACTGGCAGCACTGGCCTATACTCCTTACATCGTTGCTACCGCCCCATCAACCCCCCTTCCCCCATACTCCCGTGTATACCCCTTCCTGTTCACTCGCAGTTCCCCACAGCAGAGCCCGACAGTGAGTTGGACGAAGAAGGAGCAGACTCGTGGGACGTGTTCAAGGATGACGATGATTACAAGCAGTGGGAGGGCGACGGGGATGACTGGGCTGGGAACGCGGAGGGCGAGGGGGAGCCAGCGGGGGAGGGGGAGGAGCTGGGGGAAGATGAGCACGAGGGTCACGGCGGGTGGGGGCATCATGGGGACGGGGAGGCGCACAAGGAGGAGCACATAGAGAAGGAAGAGGGGGAGGATGATGAGTGGGGGGGTCCGCGGGCGGAGAAGGAGGATGGGGACGAGTATCAGTATGATTATGATGACTATGTGAATGAGAACATGTGGGAGGATGAGGACTGGACCGAGGCGGAGCACGAGGCAGATAAGGAGTATATCCTCGTTGACTCGCACATCCTCTGCACCCCGGTATGGATCATTGTTTAGGATTGCATATCCCTGTGAACGTAGGTAGCCAGTGGGATGAGGACTGGACCGAGGCGGAGCACGAGGCGGATAAGGAGTTTATCCTCGTGGACTCGCACATCCTCTGCACACCGGTAAGGGTTCTTTTGGTTACCCGCGCAGAGGCTGAGGGGCCGTGAAGGATGTGAGGTGGAGGAGAATGAGTACGATTATGATGACTATGTGAATGAGAACATGTGGGAGGATGAGGACTGGACGGAGGCGGAACACGAGGCCGATAAGGAGTTTATCCTCGTTGACTCGCACATCCTCTGCACCCCGGTAGGCATTTTCTGCATTGAGTGCTCGTAGGTACCAGGAGGGGCAATTAATATTCAGAGGCAGAGCATGAGGCGGATAAGGAGTTCAGTCTTGTACACTCACACATCCTCTGCACCACGGTAGGGATGATTCCTTCGGATCGCACATACTGTATTACCCATGGTAGTCATTTTGGACCAGATTTTCATAGGTTCGGAGTGGGATGAGGACTGGACAGGGGCAGAGCCTGAGGCACATAAGGAGTTAGTTCATGTAAACTCGCACATGCCCTGCACGACGGTGAGATGTTTTTTTCGTTTCTCATGCATAGACACTGAGGGGCCATGAGGGCATGTGAGGACTGGACGGGAGTGACGCATGGGGCGAATAATGAGATCATCCTTGTTGATAACATATGTGCCTCTTGTTAATCCGCATCTCGATCTACTCTTCTTTCTCCCTCTCTCTTTCCCTCTCCCTCTCCCTCTCCCGTGCTGTCTCCCCAAACCACGAGATAGCAGACATTGACAACGACGGTCATGATGAGCTGGTGGTGGCGGCATCTCTTGAATGGACTGAAATGTCACAGAATCATTGCGCTTTCTCCCTGCGTGCTGCTTCCCCTCTCTCCCTCCCACCAGGTGATAGCAGACATTGACAATCACGGCCATGATGAGCTGGTGGTGGCGGCATCTCTTGAATGGACTGAAATGTCACAGAATCATTGCGCTTTCTCCCTGCGTGCTGCTTCCCCTCTCTCCCTCCCACCAGGTGATAGCAGACATTGACAATGACGGCCATGATGAGCTGGTGGTGGCAGCATCTCTTGAATGGACTGAAATGTCACAGAATCATTGCGCTTTCTCCCTGCGTGCTGCTTCCCCTCTCTCCCTCCCACCAGGTGATAGCAGACATTGACAACGACGGCCATGATGAGCTGGTGGTGGCGGCATCTCACTTCTTTGACCGAGAGTAAGTTCGGCTGGGGAAGCTTTAAGCTTTCAGCGCCTTGACGCCATGCTATGTCATGCGTGCCAGGCCAAGCCATGCCATGCCGAGCCATGTGTTTTTTGAGTCGACTCAAAACACACCTTTTGAGTCGACTCAAAACACACCTTTCAGCGCCTTGACGCCATGCTATGTCATGCGTGCCAGGCCAAGCCATGCCATGCCGAGCCATGCAATGCTGCACCTGCGCGTGCAAGGTTATGCATTGAAGTGAAGGTTATGCATTGCTCTACGGACTTGGGTGTGCTAGTTCTAATGCAACAAGAACAAAACTGAACAAAAAAACGGATTTCCACACTTGTAAACTGATTTCCGTCCTGTGGTTTGATTTCATGTCAGGTACTACGAAGACCCGGCGCACAAGCACGAGTTGGAGGAGGGCGTGGACATGAGCAAGTACATCGGGGGGGCCATTGTGGTGTTCGACCTGCACACACAGCAGGTCAAGTGGTCGCAGCACCTGGACCTCACCACCGACAGCACGCAGTTCCGCGCCTACATCTACTCGGCTCCCACCGTGGTGGATTTGGATGGGGATGGGTTCCTGGAGATCATTGTGGGGACGTCCGTGGGCTTCATCTACTGCCTTGACGCCTTTGGTACGCTCCTTCTGTCTCTCGTTGAATGGTTTATTGCCTTGCATACGCTGTTCTCCCCTCCCCGTTTCTATCCTCCCTCTTACTTCACTCCTTCCGTTCTGCTCTCTTGCCCCTCCTTCGCCCCCTCTTGCAACCCCCACTTCCCCAGGCAAGGTGAAGCCGGGTTTCCCTTTGCAGATGGGCGAGGTGCAGGGGCAGGTGGTGGCAGCAGACGTGAACCACGACGGCAACCTCGAGATAGTGGTCTCCTCGCCTCTCTCTCCCTCTCTTCTCCACTTGCTGTCCCAACCTCCACTCTTCCCACCCTTCCTCTCTGTCTCCCTGTGCGCCCCACTCTTACCTTCCCCCTCCCTCCTCCCACTGGCCCTGTCGCCCCAGGCAAGGTGAAGCCCGGCTTTCCCCTACAAATGGGGGAGGTGCAGGGGCAGGTGGTGGCAGCAGATGTGAACCACGACGGCAAGCTCGAGATCATTGCAGCCGACACCCGCGGCAACGTGGCCGCCTTCTCCTCGGAGGGCAAGGAGGTGTGGGAGCGCCACCTGGCGTCGCTGATCGCGCAGGGGCCGAGCGTGGGCGACGTGAACGGGGACGGGTTCACGGAGGTGGTCATTGGGTCTTCCTCAGGGCACATCTACGTGCTGGATGGCAGGACAGGTGTGAGGGGATGGGTGGACGTGTGAGAATGCAAGAGCAGGTGACGGAGTGCGTTTGAGGAACCTCAAAAGGGAGGCTCACGGAGGTGGTCATTGGGTCTTCCTCAGGGCACATCTACGTGCTGGATGGCAAGGCAGGTGAGGATTCACCTGCGGAAAGAGGTAGCTTGGTGTTAACTAGGCGCACGTAGAGGGTGGGTGGGGTGGGGTAGTGGGAGGGAAGTGGTGGCATTCACTCCGGAGGGCAAGGAGGTGTGGGAGCGGCACCTGGCGTCTCGTCTCGAGGTGACTCGACTCAAAAGGAGGTGTGGGAGAGAGGCACCTGACGTCTCGAGGTGACTTTTGAGTCGACTCAAAAGGAGGTGTGGGAGAGAGGCACCTGACGTCTCGAGGTGACTTTTGAGTCGACTCAAAAGGAGGTGTGGGAGAGAGGCACCTGACGTCTCGAGGTGACTTTTGAGTCGACTCAAAAGGAGGTGTGGGAGAGAGGCACCTGACGTCTCGAGGTGACTTTTGAGTCGACTCAAAAGAAGGTGTGGGAGAGAGCCACCTGGCGTCTCGAAAAACACCCCTTTCCATTCCTCCTGTACCTCACCACTCTTTCCCCTTCCCTTTTTCCTTCCTTCAGGCAAGGACGTGGGGGGCTTCCCCTTCCGCACGCACGGGCGCATCATGGCGCCAATTCTCCTGGTGGACCTGCACAGGGGCAGCATGCCAACAAAGCCCCCTTCATCCCTTCCCCGTGACCCCTCCTCCCCTCCCTTTCTTCCCCTGCCCTCTTCGTTTCTCCAGGCAAGGACGTGGGAGGCTTTCCCCTTCCGCACGCATGGGCGCATCATGGCGCCCATTCTGCTGGTGGACCTGCACAAGCACGCGGGCGGCAAGGGCCTATACTTGGCTTTTTACTCCTTTCATCCCTCCCCTCCATCCCTCTCCCTCCGCCCTCCAACCCTTGCCCTTCCCCAGGCAAGGATGTTGGGGCCTTCCCCTTCCGCACGCACGGGCGCATCATGGCGCCCATTCTGCTGGTGGACCTGCACAAGCACGCGGGCGGCAAGGGGCAGCACGTGGGGGCGTCCGCGGGGCTGCATCTGGTGGTGGTGTCGTTTGATGGGTTCCTGTACGCCGTGGATGGACGGACAGGATGTGCCGACACGTTCGACATCGGGGAAACCTCGTGAGTCGGAGGCATGGGGAAGGAGGTGGTAGAGGGGAGGGGAGGGGGATGGGCGGAGGAAGGGGTGGGTGGGAGAGGTGGGGGGGGGAGGCAGAGGGGAAAGAGAGGATGGGGAAAGGGACGACTTAGGTCTGGTGATTGTTTCTTTGGTAAACTCACCTCTCTCCCGCCCCACGAAACCCAACCCTACCTTTCATGAAACAGTTACAGCATGGTTTTTTTGTCGAATCAAAAGTCAAGTCAGCATGGTGCTGTGGGCGAGTGAGATGACCTGGGCCTGCTGGTTTCCTCAGCCTCCCTCTCCTGCACTCCCTTTTCTCTTTCTCACGGCCCCCCTCCTCCCCTCCACCTTCTTTTCCCCAATTCCTTGTAACAGGTACAGCATGGTGCTGGCAGAGAACGTGGATGGGGGAGACGACTTAGACCTGGTGGTTTCCACCATGAACGGCGCTGTGTACTGCTTCCAGACGTCCGTGCAGTACCACCCTCTCAAGGTGCGACAGTGCAGTACCACCCTCTCAAGGTGCGACAGTGCAGTACCACCCTCTCAAGGTGCGACAGTGCAGTACCACCCTCTCAAGGTGCGACAGTGCAGTACCACCCTCTCAAGGTGCGACAGTGCAGTACCACCCTCTCAAGGTGCGACAGTGCAGTACCACCCTCTCAAGGTGCGACAGTGCAGTACCACTTGTTGAGTTGATGGTGAGATCGATTGAGGTGGTTACCACCCTCTCAAGATGAGACAGAACCCACTTGCGTTGCGGGGCCCAGCAAGGCTCAGTAGTGGTGGCATCTGCATGTGTGATCAGCACTCGTGATCTCCTTTCCACCATGAACGGCACCGTGTACTGCTTCCAGACGTCCGTGCAGTACCACCCGCTCAAGGTGAGACCTTCCCCACACATCGTCTGCCTCTGAACCAGGGACACTACCTGCTCTCGCATGTGCCCTCCCCCATATCTCATGTGCCCCTCACTCTCCTGCTTTCTCGCCCCGCTATCCCACCCACCGTGCCCTGGCAAGCAGGCATGGCCGTCCCAGAACCAGGGGCGCAACGTGTTCTTCCCACGCTACGGCCACGAGGGCATCTACATGCTGCCGCACTCCCGCCAGTACCGCGACATAGGCAAGGACTCCTTCCGCGTCAGCTTCGAGATCGTGGACGCGCGCAACCCGCTCGGGCACGGCGGGGTGTATGGCACTCAGATTGGCCCGTACAAGGTCAAGGTGAGACAGTGAGGCTTGTGTCTAGAGTCTATGAATGATGGATGTGCCCTTTCAACCGGCGCTCCCGCCAGTACCGCGACATAGGCAAGGACTCCTTCCGCGTCAGCTTCGAGATCGTGGACGCGCGCAACCCCCTGGTATGTTTTTTATCAAGCAGAAAAGATGTGAAACAAAATCAGGGGTCTGACTTCACTTCAAGATTGTTGATCTGTGCCGCAAAACCGAGTATACGAGGATAACGTGACCGCCCACTGGAATCTGTCACATGGCAAATTCCAGTGGGAAACTCTGGCCCCTGATAGGGTGAAAACAAAGCCAACCTTGCGTAGCGAGGGTTCATGCAACCGCCGAGGCCGCAATCGCGCACGGTGGTGCGTTGTCACTGTACCAGTCACTTCTTGACTGGTTTGGTCACGTCCCTGTGCCTCATGTGAGAATGTGAGTTTCACCTCTTGGGCCACTTGCAGCGGAATATTCCCCAGCGTGGCGACAGCGAGATTGTGGGAGGGGGGAAATCTCGGCAGATTCTAAGTGAAAGTACACGCGAAATTTCATCTAGGGAGGGATTCTCGCGATATCCTCCCGTAAGGAATCGGACTCGATAACAGCTATAATAGGAATCTATAAGAAAAGGGGGGTGTTATAGAAAATCACCCCAAAAGGGGGGGTATAGTACAAACGAGGTCGATTATAACACCCACCCCGCACAAGCTACCCGGGGGTGTACAATTACGGGGGGGTGTTTTATCCGGGAGAATACGGTACCTGTGCAGCAACGTTTACAACTCAGACTTTCTCCGCTTCACCCTCCCTCCTTATATCCCCCATCTACTTTCCCTCGCCAACCACCAGGTTTGGCTGTTTGACGAGGCGAAGCGCGAGCTGATGCACAAAGCGGGTCATTTCACGCTCCACCTACCCTCTGTTTCAACCCCCCAACCCCCCACCCCATTCCTCAGGTGTGGCTGTTTGATGATGCAAAGCGGGAGCTGACACACGAGGAGACCTTCCAGCACGCGGGCGTGCACACGCTGGTGATCCCCACGCCCAAGCGCCGCACGCACGCCACCTTCTACATCGAGATGGAGGACGAGCGCCGCCTGCACTTCCACGATGAATTCGCCCTCTCCTTCCACATCCACTTCTACCGCCTCCTCAAGTGGATCCTCGCGCTGCCGTTGCTCATCATGGCAGCAGCGCTCGTGGCTAGGTCCGCGCCTGATTCGGGCCCGGACCTGCCCTCTTTTTCCCCTGCCAGTCGCCACCTGGCTTGAAAAGGCCGTGGGGCTATTTGTGAACGAGATTATGCGGATTACCGTGGTTGTATTTTTCCGTCACGAGTGCATATTGGAGGATGAGCTCTGACTCCACTTCAGTGCCCTAGATATCAGACTTTTTACGCTGATTCAGCATCCATTCAGACTTTTTTTAGGTACCAGGTCTGAACTGTAAGTTTTTTTTAGTGTACCTTCTCTGATTTGTCAGAGTTTTTTTTCATGTAGTGGCTGAAATTTCAGACGAAATGTAGGGGTGTAGGCTGAGCCTCAGCCTCGTTTCGGGGGTGCACTCTAAAACGGGTACTGCAGGGGTCCGCCAGCCTAGCGGCGTGTTTGCACTAACACCGTCAATCACGGGCGGGAAACGGATTTTTCCCGAGCGCGGCACCGCACCGCACAGTCGCGTTGGGCCAGGAATGCTGTAATCTGGCTCCATTCCAGCCAATCGCGGCAGCGCAGCAGGCAGTGTTGGCAAGATTCCTTGCCAACGCATAGCTTGCACCCGGACAACACCACAACCACTGTTGAGAACCATAGTAGTTAGGAAACTTAGGAGATTAGGAACTAGGGTTTTGGAGAGGTTCAGCAAGGAGAACCATGGAGAGGGAAGTTGGCCAAAAGAGGAGTTTCACTATGGAATGAATACAAGATATAGGAATGGGCAAAAGGGAGGGTACACCACCAGCAGTTGATGCTAATACCTAAACTAGTACACTAGCTAGCTGTAGGCAGTTATAAGATATGCAATATAATTCAACACACCCCCGTAACTGCCTACGGCTATAGCTAGTGGTGCCTGGCACCAGGTCGCCTGGAGAGCGGTTGCTGTAGCTGGGATAGGCACAGAAACAGCGGTGGCTGACCGGCAGCACCTGTGAACGCCAGGACGGAGGAGGGCGCGGAGAGCGCGGAGGAGGGCTGGGATAGCCGGAGGGCGAAGGATGCTGGTCGCTCGCCATCTACGAGCAAACACAACTGTTGGTGAGGAGGAGGAAGCTGCTGGTGGTGCACAGGAGGAGAGCAAAGGAGAGGCGGCTGGAGGAGAGGAGATAGGAGGAGGAGATGCGGCTGGAGGAGAAGAGAGGAGGAGGAGATGCGGCTGGAGGAGAGGAGAGGAGGAGGAGATGCGGCTGGAGGAGAGGAGATAGGAGGAGGAGATGCGGCTGGAGGAGAGGAGAGGAGGAGGAGATGCGGCTGGAGGAGAGGAGAGGAGGAGGAGATGCGGCTGGAGGAGAGGAGAGGAGGAGGAGGAGAGGAAGTGCAGCGGAAGGAGGAGGAGAAGGGGGAGGCGGCTGCCTGCACATACCCGCCACCCCCACACCCTCTTCCCCCCCCCCCCAAACGCGGCACGAACTGCAGATGCACGGGCAGCGATGAGGAGGAGGATTAGGGAGGGGCAGGAGGGTTCAAGGGGGCTTAAGCACCCCCGTAGCCGCGGGCGCGAGCCTCGCCACCTCCCCCCCGCAACGTCCACCGTAGAAGAGAGCGACGGCAGGTGCGGAGGCGGGGAGCGGGGTGGCGATGGCAGGGGCGCTGGCGGCCGCTGCTGGCGCTGGCGCTCGCGACCGGCGCTGGCGCATGCCGCTGGCGCTGGCGCTGACGCTGGCGCTGGCGCTGGGGACCGGCGCTGGCGCTGGCGCTCGCGACAGTCGCTGGCGCTGGCGCACGTCGCTGGCGCTCGCGCTGGCGTCAGCGACGGTCAGAGGCGCTGGTGCTGGCGTCCGCGACCAGCGACGGGGCGACGCGACAGCGCGCGGGACGGGGCGACCAGCGCGTGGGGCGGGTAGCACGGGGCGTTCAGCGCGGGGCAGGCAACGGGCGAGCGCCTCGAAGGGCGCAGCAACGGTCGCCATGGCAACGATGGCAGCCATGGCGAATGAAAAATAACAAGGTCCTTAGAAGGACCCAGCTCTTAATACCATGTTGAGAACCATAGTAGTTAGGAAACTTAGGAGATTAGGAACTAGGGTTTTGGAGAGGTTCAGCAAGGAGAACCATGGAGAGGGAAGTTGGCCAAAAGGGAATACAAGATATAGGAATGGGCAAAAGGGAGGGTACACCACCAGCAGTTGATGCTAATACCTAAACTAGTACACTAGCTAGCTGTAGGCAGTTATAAGATATGCAATATAATTCAACAACCACCCACCACCCACCACCGTCCACCGTGCCAACGCATAGCTCGCAGCGCGCTGCAGCTCTCACGTGACCACATCCATCCACCCCAGTCACCCCACCTTCCCTGCACCCACGACCAGGTGTCGTGCATGCAGTGCAGTGACCAGCAGGGAGATGAGCGGTCCAAATACGAGGACCCCTCATCTTCCTCATCGTCGCCCTTCGTGGGGGTCACTCCGTGCCCTGTCTCTCTCGCTTCATTCAATTTCTTCGCCAGATAGTATTGCTGGAACCCTTGTTTCTGACTCTCACTCGCTCTCGCAAAACCAGTGCTCGGCAGACTCATGGCAGCCACAGGCGCTGCCGCCGAATCGCCCGACGATGATGACGAGACAGATCGACGGCCTGCGTCAGACGCAGTGACCGGCCTGGACTTTCTACGAGCATGCTTGCCGACGCATGTCCCACCGACTACTCCACCGTCGCAACCTAGCTCTAGCCGTCCTCCAGTTTCCGTTCAACCTGAACCTGTCCCTACAGCCGTCACTGAACCGGTCGAAGCTGCGCCAGAGTCCGTGCCCAATGAGGCGTCCGCTGAAGCACCATCCCGTCCCGCACCACCGTCGAAGATGCGTTACCGTCAGACCACGTTTCCGTGGGCAAATCCTCCTCCTCCATCGACCGTTGAAGCTCCAGCGAGAGTCGAATCTCCCATGCAGGGCAGCTCAAAGCCCACCGACAAGTCTGACTCCGATAAGTTGGAGTTGAAATACGAAGATGCACACTTTCGTTTTAAAACAAAGTGGTCTAGCGATTACGACAGGCTTATTCTAACAAAAACCTCTACCGGTGCCCCAAGTTTTAAGTGCAGCATATGCCTGGAGTTTGCAGGACTTACAGGCAAGTGTGGACGGGGTGGTGAGGGCGCGACCGACGTGCAGACGCAGGCCTTCAAGAAGCATGAAGGCACGGTGAAGCATCGTTTTGCACTGAAGCGGCAGGAGGACCTCCTCCAGAAGTATGGCGATCAACATCGCATCGACCTACACCCGAAAGCGCAGGACAAGGAGATGTTGCAGATCTCGGCGCTAGTGGAGTCGCTGTACTTCATGAGCTCGTGCAACGAGCCCATGGACGCTTGGATTCGGCTTGTGCGCTATCTCGCGAAGAAGAAGGTGACCGGCTTTCCAGAGCAGGGCTACGGCACGTACTACAACACGTAAGTTTCTGGCGGTTGTAACCACCGAATCGTTGATTTCTTCTAACTCACAGTCGCTAACTGTCTCTGGTCTTTTTTTTTTACTACAGGTACGGCTTCGGAGAGTTAACACAGGCAATTTCAACATGGCTCCAAACAACACAGCTGTAACACCTTCTGACGAGCCCCTTCATCAGGATCACCCTGGACGAGAGCACAGATCGGCGGCGCGGCAAACACATGATCGTGTTTGCAACCTTCCTGCGCGACAAGCAAGTTGTGACTGAGTTCTTTGCTCACCTCACGGTTGAGAAAGCTGACGCTGCATCCCTGTGTAGTTTGCTCCTCTCCCACATCAGGGCAGTCGGCGTGGACCTCCGCCGTATTTCGGGAGTGAGCACGGACGGCGCGATGGTGATGATGGGAGTCCACACCGGTGTGGTGGCTCGTCTTTGGATGCTCATCCCCAACCTGGTTTCGTTCCACTGCATCGCTCACAGGTGCGTTGTTGTTGGTTTATTGTTTGTTTAGTCGTTTAACAGTAACATACGATGCTAATCATGCTTGTTCGTACGTCTTGCAGGGAGGCATTGGCTGCCAAAGCCGCTGCAGAGTCTATACCCACTTTCAACATGGTGGACGACGTCATCCGTGCTGTCGCTGAGTACCTGGGGCGATCATCACCATGGCATCAACGGTTCATGGAGCTGCAGGAGGTTTTTACCTCCACCAACCTCGAGGTGCAGGGGATCCACGAGGTGCGGTGGCTTTCAAGGGGTGCTGCGGTCGCCCGCTTCGTCGAGGTCCTCCCAGCCATCATGGTGATGCTGTCAGAGTGGAAGGACCAGACGATGTACGAGCTCGTCACGTCCTACCGGTTTCAGTTTCTGCTTCGGTTCCTCGCGGACGTTCTGGACCTCCTCAACATCCTCTCGAAGGTTTTCCAGCATCGTGAGGTAAGAAACTAGAGTGACCTTGTGTTTTTTTTAAGCCGGAATCCGTGCTCTAACTAAAACTTCGTATGATGTGGCAGCTCGACTACCCATTGGTGCACACACAGATTGTGCGCACAACATCTCTACTGGAGAGTCGGTACATCGACTGCGGAGATGACTTTGGCGGCGGGCCTAACGAGCGCCTTCATCGATTCATCGAGAAGCATGGGCTGCAGGGGACACCAGAGATGGTGGTGGAAGGCGCGTCGTCGGATGGGAGTCTCAACCGCTTCAAGATCACCCTTCACGAGCGCCGAGTGGCGAACTATCTCGGGGCGGGCCATCACGATGCGTGTGTGGCGCTCTGCACTGACTTTGCCAAGGGCCTCGTCGAGGAGCTTCAGTCTAAGCTCGGAGACCTCGACTCTATGTCTGGCGTGCGGCTATTCATACCTGACGAGTGGCCTCCGAATTGGGAGAGGAGTGCACGGCAGGCACAGTGCCTTGAGTGGCTGTTGTCGCTAGTCACTCTGTTCCGCGCCGACGACTGCGAAGAGATTTTGCCAGGTCAGTTTATGGAAGTGATGCTCGTTCGACTGTTGGCTAAACCGCTCCGTACTAATCCCTCGCCGTGTTCTATGTTGCAGGCATTGACAAGAAGCGTGCCGTGAAGGAGCTGACTCTGTGCCCAGTCCTGGCCAGAGCCCCTAAGAGCGAGCGCAAGTTCAACACGGGATTGACTGCAATCCTCAAGACACCAGATTGGGAGCAAGCCTACCCCAACCTCGTCAGACTCTGGGTGGCGGTTGCAGTGCTGCCTCTCAGCACCGTCGAGTGCGAGAGTGGATTCTCTCGCCAGAATCTCATCAAGACGTGGCAGAGGGGTAGTTTAAAAGACTGTAGGCTTAGTGACTTGCTGTGTATGTCTATGCTAGACTATGAACTGGACGTGCCGGGGGTTGTAGAGACCTGGCGCAGCTATAAGAAGCGCCGGCCAGTGACGGCACCTGCTGCAAGACACAGGGAGCCCCAGAGAGCTGGGAATGAGGCTGCAAAGGAGCCAGTAGTTCAGCCGGCAGCTAGAGTAGTGTCACATGGGATAGAATCTGATTCAGATAGTTGAAGTGTTTTCAATGTATATAAAACCGGCAGCCTTCAAACCTAGTGTAACTCTGAACATTCAGCCAAAAAAAACTAGTGTAGTCTGAACTTTCAGACTTCATATCGCATGCAACTCTGACTACAGAGTTTAGATGGGGGTGCACTCTGACCCAACAGCGTGTCCTAAAACGAATCTAGGGCAGTGCTCCACTTCGAGTCGCCATCTGGATTGACCTGTTGCATCGTGTGCTGCTAATCTTCAAAACTGCTTGTATGATGAGGGGGGAGGGGAATCAAAATTGCAAGTGCTCTTCTGTAAGTGCTGTGGTGTGGGAATTGTCGCTGGTGCTGTCCTTGCGACACCATAGGCTCTGTATGGTATGATGACCTCAAACTGGGGATGAAGCATTGTGAAGTGCCTAGTGGAAATGAGAGCCTGCATATGGTAATGTGTGTTACGAATAGTGAAAGATGAAACATAACTGTGCACTCCTTACCGCAGCAATCGAAGCAAGCACTACCGAGGCTTAAGGGAACATTCCTGTGTCGACATTTGTGTCTCAATCGCTTTGTGACACCCAAAAACAGCATGGACTGTATTGTGTCCCAAATGCGAGTCGCGTTTCAGCGACCGGTACTGTATTTTTAATTGGTCAGCGTGAAACGCGCTGACGTCGCTGACGAATTGCATCTTGACCCGTCACTTCTAAAATTTTGCACGCGACTCGAAATGCCCGACACGATCACGTGCACTTGGACACCCCACAATGCCAATTTCGGGAGGGAAAATTTCCCGCGCATCGAAATCACACTCACATTCGCCTGGTCACCCAAGTCACCCAATCAAATTCGCACACTTGTACATTTCGCACTGCTGCCTAGTGTCACGATACATGTTAAGTCTTAGGCAAGGATGGAGTTGGACTATCGAGAGTTTGGTACAAAAGCATAACCTAAGGGGTTGTACCCTACAGTGAGTACCCCACTAAAGCCTACCCAAACTACAACATATAACTATATGTTTGACACACCCCCATAGGCAAAGTGGGGGAGAACAGAGGGTCACAAGACCAGTCGGGAAGTGCAAAGCAAGCTCAGGGTGGATCACAACGTCACCACGCAGTCTGAGCACAAGCAACAGGCCACAAGGCCAGTTCACATGCAGAGATATATATGTAACAACAACAGCGCAGTGATCTCTACCTACAAGAGCAAGCATGCAGGTATACATATAGATCACAGTACAAGCAAAGTCTACAGCAAGTGAGGAAGCGTGGGCACAAGGCCTAACAAAGTGCAGAAACGCTGATGATCACCAGGCGGAAGCGCCTTGGTGAATATATCAGCAGTGTTGGCCCGGGTGGCCACGTAAGGAAGACGAAGCTGACCACGCTGCTGCAGCTCTTGAGCAAGGAAGTAACGCAGAGCGATGTGCTTCGTTCTGTGCTCCAGTCTGTGCTCCTGACACAAGGCAATGGCGGCCTTGTTGTCGACGTACAGCACTGGAGGAGAACGAGGCCGCTCTCCCAAGTCAGTCAGCAGGTAGGTGAGCCAGCGTAGCTCCTGTGCAGCCATGGCTGTGGCGTAGATCTCGGCCTCACAGCTGGAGCCGAGAACTGAAGACGAACGTGTAGAACGCCAGGAAACTGAACCAGAACAAGGCTGAAGGTGTAACCCTGTGACGACCGCTGCGTAGCCTGGTCGTCAACCCAAGAGGCGTCCGAGTGACCAGTGAGGACAACGTCACCCCGTCCTCCAAGCACGAGCCCCATGCCCGATGTACTGCGTAGTACCCTCTTAGCAGCATCCATGTGCACCTTTCTGTGCCGACCAGGAGCCACGTAGCGAGCCAGAAGGCCGAGAGGGTACGCAAGGTCAGGACGAGTGCAGGTCATCAGGCACATGAGGCAGCCCACTAGCTCTGGGTAAGGACCACTCGGCTCTACGGACTCGTCCGAAGGTGGAGCTGAGAGCGAGTGACCTGTAGCCAGAGGAGTGGCCTGTGCTGAGGACCAGGTGAAGCCGAAGCGCTGAAGGACCTGCTGCACCATGTGTGACTGAGTCAGTGTGATCGTGCGGCGTGCTCTGTCCCGGGTGATCTGCAAGCCAAGATAGCTGCGCAGCTCAGTGTCAGCAGTGGCAAAGACCAAGTCGTCGACGTACACGAGGATGAAGAACGGCGGCAGCGAAGTGTCGGTGCGCAGAAACAGCGACGGGTCAGCAGTCGACGGAGCAAACCCAAGAGCCGCAAGTGTCGTCCTCAGTGTGTCGTGCCACTCACGTGGCGCCTGGCGGAGACCGTAGACCGGCCGCCGGAGGCTCCACTGGGTACCGGGAGGGAACGACCCAGTGAAGCCAGGAGGGCGGCGCAGCCAGATCTAGGGATGAGCAAGGGGCGAACACGAACATGTTCGTGTTCGCCCCTACACGAACACAGCATTTGCCGAACCGAACACTGTTCGGTTCGGCGAACACTTTAAGCCAAAACAGGTGTTCGCCGTTCGCCTGTGAAGGCGTGTTCGGGCGAACCTCGAACACGTTCGTGTTCGTCGCGGGGCAAATTGCAGCAGCGGCTCGAACACGAACGTGTTCGGGCGAACCTCGAACACTGTTTGGCGAACACTTTAAGCAAAAAAATCAAACCTGTTCGGTTCGCCTCGAACATGTTCGAGGCGAACCAAACAGGTGTTCGTATCTGTGCTCATCCCTAGCCAGATCTCCTCGTGTAGGCTGCCCTGTAAGAACGTTGTGCTGAAGCTCGTAGTCACGCTGAGCAGCAACGTGCAGCAGCACCCGAAGAGTGGTCATCTTCGGGGTGGGGGAGAAGGTCTGGAAGAAGTCAACTCCCTCTCGCTGACTGAAGCCTCGAGCCACGTAACGAGCCTTGAAGACAGGCGGAGAACCTGGCGGTCGCTTCACCCTGAAAATCCACATGCCACTGACGATGTTCGCCCCAGGAGGGGGAACCTCATCAACGTAGGTGCCTGTGGACTTCCAGGATGCCATCTCTGCGTCCATGGCTGTCTGCCACTGAGAGGAGTACTCACCCGCGATCGCCTCACCGTAAGAGCGCGGGGTCGGGATGTCTAGAGCATCCGGGTCTCCCTCAGGGGCAAGCAGCATGGACACGAGATGAGGCGCAGCGGCTGCAAGACACTCAAGGTCCTCCTGCCTGTCCTCAAGGACTTCCGTGCTAAGGGCACACTCACCCCCGACGGACGGAGGACAGACAGACTCAGACTCAGAAACAAGACTAGCGGCGTAGTCAAGACGACAGGCAGCAGCAAAGTCAACAAGCTCAGCGACTAAGGCAGACGCAGCAGCAGACTCAAACGACGGGTCGGCGACAACAGTGGCAAGCAGACGCGTGACAGTAGGGTGCTCAGCACAAAACTGGTCAGACGCAGGGTCAGCAACGACACGCAGAGAGGACGCAGGGGGAGACGGCAGAGGAACACGCGGCGGAGGAGAGGAAGGACGACGAACTACAAGGTGAGGGCCGGAGACAGCCGGCTGACGCTGACGAGGAACACGACGACCGGAACGACCAGAACGGACAGGTGAGACAGGACGCGACGCAGGCTCACGGCGCTCAGCAAGGCCCCCAATCTGCTCTGTGTACGGAGAAGGAGCAGGCAGGGGTGAGCCAGGCTGTAACGGAAGACCAGTAGACGAGGGAAGACTGAGAACCTGGCGAAGTGCAGAGTTAGGTGGTGGCTGAGACGACGGAGACGGCGGAGCGAAGAACAGGCGCGGCTGAGCAGTGCCACCAACACCAGCAGCTCCAGCACCTCCAGCAGCTCCAGTACCCTCAGCAGCTCCAGCACCTCCAGCAGCTCCAGCACCTCCAGCAGCTCCAGTACCCTCAGCAGCTCTAGCACCTCCAGCAGCTCCAGCACCGCCAGCAGCTACAGCACCGCCAGCAGCGCCAGCGGCTCCAGTACCCTCAGCAGCTCCAGCACCGCCAGTAGCTCCAGGACCCTCAGCAGCTCCAGCACCTCCAGCAGCTCCAGTACCCTCAGCAGCTCCAGCACCTCCAGTACCTCCAGCAGCTCCAGTACCTCCAGCAGCTCCAGCACCCTCAGCAGCTCCAGGACCCTCAGCCACAACACCGCCAACCCCAGCAGCTCCAGTACCCCCAGTACGAGCACCTCCGGGACCAGCGACACCAGCACCTCCAGCAGGCAAAGGACCAGCACCACTCCCTGCTCCAGTGGTGCCAGCAGAAGAACCCCCAGCAGTAGAGCCCTGAGGTGCAGAAGCGCGCCGCTGACGGCGACCGTACCAGTCGTGCAGCTGCTGGGGAGGTGAGGGGCACTCGCGGACGAAGACGGCTACTCCAAGGAGACCGCGTAACAGCAGTCTCAGAACCCTCACGCGACGCACCCCCAGACTCGGCACCCCCAGGCTCCGCACACGCAGGCTCAGCACCCCCAGACGCAGCACCTCCAGACGCAGCACCCCGAGACGCAGCACCTCCAGGCTCCTCACGCGCAGGCTCAGCACCTCCAGGCTCCACACGCTCAGCGCCCCCAGACTCAGCACCCCCAAGCTCCGCACCCCCAGGGACAGCACCACTCCCAGGAGGACCGGAGTCACCAGTGACCTCA